TAAAGAACAAACATTAAACATTCGTATATTGTACATGTATGTTTATTTAATGAACTGATTATTAAGGCAAATTAATTAATATTTTATCAAGGTTTTCAAAAGCAATGCATATATCAATGTATATTTTTAATGATGAGTTTGCAGTGGTACAAGTTCGCAATGATTGCAGTTGTTCTAGTTGGTAGTTAACGTTGGTACCAGTTGACTTTTAGTGGTACAAGGTGATGTAGTACGAGTTTGTAATAGTATGAATGGACTTGCTTCCCTGGCGTTTGGGTTCTACAGTACAAAAGTTATGAGACACAAATCAGCCAAGGGTTTACTACTAAAGGGATCAAAGGTGAGGTCTGATTGACCTGTCCATAGTAAATGTAAATGATCCTTACCTTCACCAAGTCCATGATGTCACTCCATCCCAAGTTTGGAGTAAAATGACAGGTGATTATAAAACAGTTGGTCAAACATTCTTGGGCTTTACACTGCTTTGTAAGTTTTATATGTTTTCTTTAAAATGAGCCATAAATGAAAATTTTTATAGATATAGGAAGATGTGGTATGAGTGCCAATGAGACAACTTTCCATCCATCCATAGGCCCAGAAATAATTCAAAAAATAAGTAAAGTAAAATTCAATTAACCTAGACTTATTTTGGCATCAATTAAATTTTATAATAAACAAGAAATAATTGTAACAGGATGCTGTTACGAAGTCTTCCAAACAGAGCTCCCATAATTCGTCATTCCCATGGTCGCCTGACATTGGGCAAAGTCCAGTACAAATTGGTTAGGTCTAGTAAAGTGATGTGCATATGTGATCCCTAGGGGATTGACCCTGCATGTCATTCAAATCTTCTTGAAATGACAAACAGGAATAAATATGGTTTAGGGTTGGGTATCTCAATGTTTACAAGTTCTCAAAAAGGGGGGGGGGGAGTGATCCCCAGGGCACTTACCCTTTATTTCATTTGATTTAGTTTATTGTCCCGTACAAGAATACATATGGTTTCGGGGTTGGGATCTCAACCGTTTATAAGTTTTAAAAAATAAGGGGGGTGGGGGTGACCCCCGTGGACTCCCCCTATATTTCATTTGATTTGTTTTATTGTCCCATAAATGAATATATATGGTTTAGGGGTGGGGATCTCAACCGTTTACAAGTTTTCAAAAATAAGGGGGATGGGGGTGACCCCAGGGACTCCCCTATATTTCATTTGATTTGTTATCTTGTCCCAAACAAGAATATATATGGTTTCGGGGTGGGGATCTCAACCGTTTACAAGTTTTCAAAAATAAGGGGGGTGGGGGTGACCCCCGTGGACTCCCCCTATATTTCATTTGATTTGTTTTATTGTCCCATATATGAATATATATGATTTACGGGTGGGGATCTCGACCGTTTACAAGTTTTCAAAAATAAGGGGGATAGGGATTTCGACCGTTTACAAGTTTTCAAAAAGAAGGGGGTGGGGGTGACCCCTGTGGACTCCCCTATCTTTCATTTGATTTGTTTTACTGTTCCATACAAGAATATATATGCAGTAGGGGTGGGGATTTTGACCGTTTACAAGTTTCACAAACAGAAGGGGATGGGGTGACGCTGGGGATTCCCCCAAATTTTCATTTGATTTGTTTTATTGTCCCATACAAGTATGTATATGGTTTAGGGGTGGGGATCGCGACCGTTTACAAGATAAAAGCACATTTTCAAATTCAAGGGGTGGGATGACCCCCCAGGGACTCACCCTATATTTTATTTGATTTGTTCTATTGTCCTGTTATTATTACTGAACACCGTGTGTGTCGATCACTTACTGTTTTCAAGTAATAGTCATTTGAAAATTGAAAAAAAAAAAAAATCCCATAGGGTTCTATAGTAAACCCCTCCCTTCTTTAGGACCCTCAGAATACCCCTAAGTAGACCCCCAAGGCACAAAAACCAAAGATTGATGGCTCCGCTAGACATGTTAGTCTAACATTTAATGAAACCCTAAGTAAATCTGACAAGCGGTCCGAGTTGTCTTCTTAGATAGTCCAAGTGGACTCGGTCCGACTTGTCTCGGGGACGAGTTGTCCACATTTCTTAAAACATCCCATCTTTGTCATTCATAAAACAACAACAACTTAATTTGGCAAGTTCAGTGATGAATGGAATAATTTAATAAAAGAAAGGAATTTAAATGTGCATACATTTAATTGAAATTAATTGATTAATCACAATCTTCTTAAACGAAAAGATCTTCTTAAACGAAAAGAAGATCATGATAAACAAAACTTACTTTATAACATCAGAATACTTACTAGCTTACGTTTCGTGTAAGTTATTAGTTAAAATTACAGCCAACTTATACTATGTATAACTTTATGTCCTTTATCATAGAGATTTGGTGTACATGAACAATATTCCTGTGCTGTTTGCCATTTGGGAAATGTAAACGACTTGTAATTAGAAATGATGGCGATGAAATATTTCATACAATTGTTCTTTGACATCTTAGCCAAAAGCACATGGGATAATAAACTACGTACGGATTTCTATTAAGCACTACTTCCTATGTGCAACTTCAAAAATTTTGGGTGGTTCAACGATCATATAAGGTTTTACTGGTCATATTTTTTGTATTCCAGAATTGAAAGTATGAAAAAAGTGCCCAATTAGTTATTAATAACATATTAGCCAGCTAGATAATAACAATAGCACTTTTTACACCATTCAGTGGGAAGAACACAAATCTAGGGTGGTAGCATATGACAGCTTAACTGCCTAAAAATCAAGGCAGGACCATTTTAAAGGGGCAGGGATGGAAATGTATCAATTAATTTTAATTGGCCTTACCATGACAATTAGTTTAGGGTCATAGGAACCCTGCCAGACAGAAGTGTACACCTTACAATCATTCCATTCACCAAATATAGATCTACTGCTCATTGTATCTGATAAACTGAAAAAAACACAAATACTTGAAATTGACCAATGAACCATGAAAATGAGGTCAACGTCATTTGAGCCCTGTGAGACAGATATATACTTTCAAAAATGCAATCATTCCATACACTAAATATAGATGACCTATTGCTCATAATTACATTTGTAATATCAGATAAACTGACAAAACCTCAAAAACTTAATATTGACCAATGAACCATGAAAATGAGGTCAAGGCCATATATGCAACCTGCATGACAGACATGTACACCTTACATTCATTCAATAGACCGAATAAAATGGCCCTATTGCTTATAGTATCTGAGAAATAAATCTTAACAACAAATACTAAACTAAACTTGTCCAATGAAAAATGAAAAAGAGGTCAAGGTCATATGAAACCTGTGAGTCCAACATGTTTAATTTGCCTTACAATCATTCATACACCGAATATAATAGTTGACCTACATTATTGCTTATAGTATCCAAGATACTTAGTGAGAAATTCATGACCAAAGTTTGTGCCCAACAGTCGCTGAACTATGAAAATGAGGTCAAGGACAATTAAACACAATGTATTACAGATTGAAACTTTGTAACATAAGGTATCTGCGTACAAGGTTTGAAGCATTCAGATCTTTTACCCACTAAAATATCAAGCTTTATAAAAATACAAAATACGGCATTGTTGCCACCGGAAATTTATATATTTCCTATATCTCGCATTATTTTCATTGCAGGAAGACAAAAATCAGTGTTGGTTTGTACAGATTGTTTTCTTCAAAACCGAACAAATTAAGAAGTAAACCAGCCACGGTCTGTAGGACATTTAGAGTTATGTTTAAAGACGGTCCGAGTTGTATTCATAGACAGTCCTAGTTATTTTACGGGTTGTCTTCGGTCGAGTTACCAGAAGAAGAGTTGTCTATTTTCCAGAACCGTACCTCTACTGAAACAGCTTTTACAAGACCTATTGGCATGGAAATGTCACCATCTCTCAGATCCCTGTTTCTTTTACAAAGTACAAGCCGTTGTACACACATATTATGTCTTTTCATACATGATTCAACTAATTTTTCAATAGTTTTGATACTTTGTTGAGTCCACGTGAAACAATCCATGTTTGTTTACATCGAGTCAGTATCATTCGTGCGTTTTGAATATTTAGGCCGTACTAGATTTGTCTACCGCGGGTAATCCAATCACACTATGTACAAACGTTACATTTACCGAGCGGTTGATTGTTGTTGGGATAGTTGTTTTTGACATCAGATGATTTAGAAGAAATAGTTTATCTCTTTTACATATTCCCCATTTCCATTCTCAATTTTATCAACAAGTTGTAGGTATTCCTATGGGCACCAATTGCCCCCCCTTTACTATCAGACTTGTTCCTGTACTGTAACAGTATGTTATAAATCAAGTTTATGGCAACAGTCAATAGAGATCCCTAAATTACATTTCCCATTCCCATTCCATTCCATTCCATTCCATTCCATTCCATTCCATTCCATTCCATTCCATTTCCCATTCCATTCCATTCCATTCCAATTCCATTCAATTCTATTTCCCATTCCATTCCATTCCCATTTCCATCCCATTGCCATTCCATTCCTTATTCCATTTTATATTCCATTCTCCATTCCATATTCCATTTCATTCAATCCTTCATTCTACATTCCATTCTATAACATTCCATTCCCATTTCAATTCCTAATCCCATATCCATTCCCATTCTTCATTCCATATTCCATTCTTCATTCCATATTCCATTCTTCATTCCATATTCCATTCTTCATTCCATAATCCATTCTCCATTCCATATTCCATTGCATTCAATTCTACAATCCACATCCCTTTCTATTGCATTGAATTTCATTGAATTCTATTCCATTCCATTTTTCGTTCCATATTCCATTCCATTTTCAACCAAACAACATTCAATCAAGCACCTAAGGAGTGTTTCTATAAGCGGCCGGTTAAAATTTGTCCCCGACCAGAATCCATGTAAGATTAGTCAAGCTCAATCTTTATGAAGCATTTATCTGACCTCGATCAGCCTGAAAAAATTAGAAAGGGACATAACTCATCACTCTTGAATCGGAGGCGGGAATGAGAAAAAAGAAATATATTCGTAGTTTGAAATGACATTGTATCCCCTTACATGTTCAGAAAAATAGTAAATATTCTTTCCTTAATATATGAAAATTTAGGCTTTTGTTTACACGAATGAAAACAGTTTTTTTCTGATCCGAAAAACAACCTCTTCAAGTTGTGTCGTTGTGAAAGTAGTATTACACATCCATGTAACAAGGTACCAAGTTTGCTTATGTACTGATTTCGTTCAGAATATTTGGTTTTCCCAAGAACTGATAAAACCAAGGGTACATGTATACTCAGTACAATCTAAACACTACTGCCTAGAAAAATGAACAGGGTTCAGGAAATCTACAAATATAGCTTTATTGAGCAACTGGATAGTGGGTTATTTTGCCCTGGTTCCTGTTCGCATTAGGTCTGGTTCAGTTTGCCCTGTACTGAAATAATTGTATATTGATAATGTTAAAAAAATAAATCCCATTTATTCCATAATATGAATTGTTCGTCTAAATTAACTCGAATTATAGTTATCTCGTACCACTGTAAACTCGTACCAATGTCAACTCGTACCACTAAGAAAAAACTCGTACCAATGCAAACTCGTACCACTGCTAACTCGTACCATGGTAAATTCATACCATTGTAAACTCGTACCAACTTATTTAAACGCATTCAAATGGTGTTTAATGATGAATATATACTTTAATTTCACTCAATACCTCTTAAATCTGTAAAATGTATATAATTAGAAATTACAATGACCAATTTGTTTTGATAATCAGGAATTTCATTTAATAATAAACATTATACATTTAATTCCAAGCTGTTAAATTATATAACAACAATCAAATTTTAATAATATGATTAAACAAGTTGATTAGTTTATAATCAACCAATTATCACACAATCAAAGGAATTTAATATATTAATTAGCATGGTGATTAAGAAATTACATTCGTATATTTGTCTAAGTTTTCATTAAAATCTGGTATAAAATTCCAAGATATTTCAATTTTTTGTATGAATCTTAAAAAAAATAATCATAAAACATTCGTATTTTTGTCTAAGTTTTCATTAAAATCTAGTAAAAAAATTCAAGTAATTCAACTTTTTTTTATTAAGTTTACCAAAAAAAAAATCATAAAACATTCGTATTTTTGTCTAAGTTTTCATTAAAATCTAGTAAAAAAATTCAAGTAATTCAACTTTTTTTTATTAAGTTTACCAAAAAAAAATCAAAAAACATTCGTATTTTTGTCTAAGTTTTCATTAAAATCTAGTATAAAATTCAAGTAATTCAACTTTTTTTTATTAAGTTTACCAAAAAAAAAATCATTAAACATTCGTATTTTTGTCTAAGTTTTCATTAAAATCTAGTATAAAATTCTGATTGGTACGACTTTCCAGTGGTACGAGTTTACGTTCGTACGAGTTAACTTTTTTGGTACGAGTTTACGTGGTACGAGTTTACAATGGTACGAGTTAACTTGCTTCCAATTAACTCCCCATTACGCCACCTAATTTTTTCAATCGTAAAAAGGAAGGCCATTGTAGGGATGATGGACGGCCGATTTAGCACTTGAAAACCGATATACTTATCCACATAGCATCATTACGACCCTTATATTCCAGTTGTATTTTAAAAGACAAATGTATCTTACATTTGTACTAGCTATTAACATGATTAAGCATCGTTTAATGTACTTTTAGGCATTTAGTCATTTAATTAATATTGTCTTTTTGATTGTCAGCGGGAATTTTCAAAAGTTAAAAAAAAAAAATCTAATATATTTCGTGGAAGGGCACACTAAAAGTTTTCAGAGGTTGAAGAGGAATTACCCTAGATAATACGCACAAAAAATGGATGTTTTCTGAAGTTTTGAATTTTTAAGATCCACTTGTAAAGTCTGTCGTCTACGGTTTTCAGTAAAAAAAAATTATTCAAACACACCTACTTTGTTGTTATGACTCGTTAGAAAGGTATTTCACTTAATCCATATATTTCAATTTTTAGTACTGTGAGTTTTCAATGTTATTATATCAACCTGTACAGTAGCTTATATATGTGAAAATAATAGAATCTGAAGCAAGATGATGTATCAAATATTTTTTATTTATATGTTTTCAAGGCAAAATTGTCGTCTCATACACATGTGTACATACAAAGGTATACTTGCCTTTCTCTTTTCGATGAAATACAGTTGTGTAATTGCCAATTTCTAGGATTTTTTCCAAAAAAAATGTCTCCGGGGGCAGAGATGCAAGTTAATGCTTTATAAAGATCAATCTTTTAACTTTCTGTGGAATTTAAAAGTTTACAAATATCTTGAAGATCCATACTATAATTTAAGTAAAAACCGTGTATATAAGATGCATAAAATCCTAACTTATGCACCTACATTAAACTTTCAAAGCCCAGAGAAACAGAATTAAACAATTGAAATATACCAACTTGGCCATTTTTACCTTCTCTAATAAAGAGTTCAATTTCTTTTGTTTAATTTCAACTGGATATCAGCCTGTGTTGAAGAATGTTTTGTTCATACATTTCTCAAGTTTGTTTGAGTTATTTTTAACACATAGAGCAAGTCACAAAAAACACACTTACCAGATGGTCATCAAAATGACACTCAAGATGTAACATTTCCTGTCTAAATACCCATAAAACACGTAAAAGGCTAAACAAATTAAAACAATACATATTCTTGCTCAACGATATTTATTTATGAAATCAGGGCAGAATGACTGGTTGCAAATGGGAATAGGGGCAAAACAACCCAGATTCACTTTGGGCTATTTTAACTTGATTGAGATATGAAATCCCCCCACCCACCTCGAAGAAAATTTAAGTTTCTGCTTAAATTTTTGGATGTGCAGTCTAAAACTCCACATGCTTAAAAAAAACATAGTCAAGATTGTTTCTGTGTACAAAATTTTTGGAACTTTTAGGGAATTATAGGAAGATTTAATTGGAAAATTTCATTCAACAGTACTTCCTTATTGTGTTTGTAAAGCTTCAAAATGCACTCCCAAATGCAAAGCAAGAAACAGGAATTTCATTGAAAAATTGCCAAGGGAAATAATTTTGCATAGCCAGATCAAGCTATATTAACTCAAACTTAAGATAAACACATTTTGATTAACCCTTTTTGTCTTGTTAAAAGCTGGTAAAGATGGGAATTTAAAGAAAGGGCTGAAGAGATGGAGGAATCATTATTTCCCCCCTAAGTTGTGGAGGTTCAAGGATGTTCCCTTCAGGTCCATTCACCCACTAAAAAAAAGTCACATCACCCTGAATTAAATATGTTCAAGATTTAAAAAAAAATAATTTCTTTTTCATAAATAATTAAGATCATAATTAGGCCAATTAAAATTAATTGATAGATTTTCATCCCCGCCCGCCCCTCTGAAATTGTTCCGCCCCAATTTTTTTTATTTTTAAAAATTTACAATTTCTGGATTTTGTTCATTTCCGTTACTGGTAACCGCCGATAATTTCGTTTCATTCAAAACTTCCTGTTTCAAATTTCGGTTTTTGTATTTCTTCGAGTAATATAAGTCGACATATTCTTCTGCTCAATGATGTCAGATGATAACATTATCTTCTGAGAATATAGATTGATTACTAGAAGGGCATGGAATATTCGGGTTACGAATAATAGGCAATGTCCAAGAAAGCTAATCGTGGTATGTCACAAATTTCAGTGAATGAAAAACCGTGGATTTTTTGGAATATTTATACAATGACTTTATGTTAGGAAATTTGGACTGTGAATGATAACCAAAGCGTGAAAATCACAGAACACATTGGTACAAAAACATACCTGGAATAAAGTAATTGACACAAGCACGAATTTGTGCGATTTATGGGCGTTTATTGAGTACAAAGAGTCGGCCAACGTACAAAATGTATTATAGCAAGCCCTTAGATTTACCCCAGTGAAGGCTGTTGTTTTTGTTGACAAACAGCAAACACCCTTTGTCCCCAGCCCCTCAATAGAGTCATTAAACAACTTCTTCCTTTTGGTTCAGTTCATGTTTTACATTGTAATTATATTTGCACCTTGCATACACATGTAAGAATCTTAAAAGCATGAACCCTAGTATTTTCAACACAGTTTGAGTTTTCATTTCACTCTGTACTCATAATATTTGTGTTGCATACCAATGCATATGCTTCCTTTTATGGGCACTACAAATCATAACTTAGAGAGCAAAATAAATTTGATCTAGGTAAGTGTAAAAGAGAACATTTCTCCACGATTTTGCTATTTACTAAAAATAGGTTTCTAAAGCGGCAATTACATGTAGAGCAGTGTTTGCCAATCAGAAATATTAGATTAAGAATTTGAAAAATAATGTAGAATTCCTTATATATACATGATATAAGCTTGTTATTACCCTTGTGTGTGACTTTTTATGCAATAATCATAAATAGTTTCTGACATTCTCTAAAATAAAATTTTGAATCAAAACCAAAAAGTATACAGATCCTTAGATTAATATAACTAAGAAGTGTGTAAAATTTTAAGCAATAATCATAAATCGTTTTTGAGATACGGCGCGACATGTGAAAACCCCCCTTTTTAAAAAAAAAAACCAATATCTCAAAAATAAAATTTTGAATCAAAACCAAAATGTATACAGATCTTTAGATTAATATAACTAAGAAGTGTGTAAAATTTTAAGCAATAATCATAAACTGTTTTCGAGATACAGGACGACATGTGAAAAACCCCTCCCCCTTTTTTAACAAAATACTCAATATCTCTAAAATAAAATTTTGAATCATCACCAAAAAGTATACAGATCTTAAGATTAATATAACTAAGAAGTGTGTAAAGTTTTAAGCAATAATCATAAATTGTTTTTGAGATACAGTGCGACATGTGAAAAAAAACACACACCTGTTTTAGTTACTAAGTCCCGTAACTCAAAAAGTTTTAATCTTATTTTCACCAAAAAGTATACAGATGGTTTGACCATCATAAGAAACAACTATGTTAAGTTTCATGAAATTTGGATAAGTCGTTCTCAAGTTACGGTGCGACATGTTTACGCCGGACGGACAGACGACATTTGTATACCATAATACGTCCCGTCAAAATTTTGACGAGCATATAAAAATTAAATCCTCCCACCTGCCCTACTTTTAAAAAAAATCTGGATAAAAATCTAATTAATTTTAGTTGGCCTTACAGTCAGAAGATTACTAAAACAAGGAATTTTAAATAATTGGAATCAATAAAAATTGTTACAAGTAATGTACATGTATATGTAGGAGTTGTCTCTCTTTCTGATAATTTAAAAACATAAATGAGTGATATTTGTGATCAGGCAAAAAAAAAGATAGTCTCTTTCCTGCCTTCTAACCGTCCCAAAAAGATTTAATTGCTTTTCCAAAAAATATTTAAAAATAGTGTTTTACATGTATGTCATTTGACTAGGATACAAATCTGTGTTTTGTGTCATTTGAGTAGGATACAAATCTGTGTTTTGTGTCATTTGAGAAGGATACAAATCTGTGTTTTATGTCATTTGACTAGGATACAAATCTGTGTTTTGTGTCATTTGAGTAGAATAGGAATCCTATGTCTGCTAGATTATTCAGTCAAATTTGTTATAAGATTGACCATAATTGAGTTGAAAAGCTGTCACAACAACAGAAATTACAAATGTGCCATCCTGCATGGGCAAATTACCGACTGGCAGGTTACATCTGACCTTAACCTCATTTTCATGGTTCATTGGTCAATGTTCAGTTTTTGTGGTTTGGTCTATTTCTCAGATACTATAAGCAATATGTCCACTATATTTGGTGTATGGAATAGTTGTAAGGTGTACATGTCTGCCTGGCAGGTTTCAGATGACCTTGACCTCATTTTCATGGTTCATTGGGCAATGATAGGTTTTTATGTTTATATCAGTTTATCAGTTACTATAAACAATAGGTCAACAATATTTGGTGTATTGCATGATTGTCTGTCTGGCAGGGTTCATATCACCTTGACCTCATTTTCATGTTTCATTGGTCAATGTTAAGATTTTGTGGTTTGATCTATTTCTCAGGTACTATAAGCAAAAGGACCTTTATATTTGGTGTATGGAATGATTGTTATGTGTTCATGTCTATCAGTCATGGTTTATCTGACTGACTTTATTTTCATGGATCATTGATTGTGTTAAGTTTATGTGATACTTGTAATAAGACCTTCATTTTACAGACTGTCAACATGAATTCAATCATAGGTAAAACAGTCGAGACATTTCAGCATGTGCATCTTGTTTATTGTTCAAAATTATAAGTCAAACAAGGATCACCAGTCATTCAGCTTTCATGATACCAAAATTACCAAAATATTCTACATATTTTGAAAGTTACTACCATGCATAGGAACTATTTTGTTTTAAATGTATGTACTACTTTCTGGTATGTTCTTTCAGACTTGGCCCAAATAAGTGGTGTAACACCTGAAGATAACATGTTTTGTTCCCCAGATTTTATCAATACACTAAAAAATAAAAAAAATCACCTGTAGGCTGTACAAGTAAACGATGTTCTTTTCACAATTCTTAAGACAAACAGCAAATATATCAAATAAAAACAATAAGTTATAAACTAAAACATCAATCATCAAACTTTAAAAAAAACAGAACTTTTGAAAATAGCATAAATGCACTTCTGGAAAGAACGATTGATTCACTCAATCACATGTTATATGGATGTGATTTCTAACACATTATGGGGGCATCGGTGGCTGAGTGGTCTTAGTACAGGTAGTCAAACTACTGTATCACTAGCCTGTCAACACTGAGGTTGTTAGTTCCAATCCCACGTGACAGGTACACTAGACTCCAATCTTAATTGACTAGGATTGTCTGTTGTCCTACTGAAGGTCCGTGGTTTTCCCTGGGAAATCCGGCTTCCTCCACCAATAAGAACTGATCACCACAAAATAGCACGATAGTGCTGAAAGTGGCCTTAAACACCAATCAATCAATCTGTCACAGTTTATCCCAAAAATCACATGTTAAGATATATTATGGTCCTTTGGGTTCTGTGTATCAAAATTTCATCATGAACTTATCCTGAATTCTGCAGATATGAAAGGTTCAATAACCAAACTATGTAGAATATTATACATGTTATACTTGTTGATTGGAAAAATCATTTTTATACGACCGCAAAAAAATTTTGCAGTCGTTTATTGGTATGGCGTCGTCGTCGTCGTCCGAAGACACATTGGTTTTCGCACTCTAACTTTAGTTTAAGTGAATGGATCTCTATGAAATTTTACCATAAGGTTCAATACCACAAAAGGAAGTTTGGGATTGATTATGGGGGTTATGGTACCAACAGTTAAGGAATTAGGGGCCAAAAATAAGCATTTTTGTATAACTTCCAGACATAACTTGTGTGTTAGTGTATGGATCTCTCTGACATTGTACCACAAAGTTCCATATCACAAAGGGAATGCTGGGATTGATTTTGGGGGTAATTGTCTCAAAATTTTAGGAATTAGGGGGCAAAAAACAAGCATTTTTCTAGTTTCATGACAATAACTTGTGTGTAAGTGTATGGATCTTTCTGAAATTGTACTACAAGGTTCCATATCACAAAGGGAAAGCTGGAATTGAGTTTGGGGGTAATTGCCCAAAACGTTTAGGAATAAGGGGCCAAAAATAAGCATTTTTCTAGTTTCCAGACAATAACTTGTGTTCAACTTCAACTTCAAGTGTATGGATCTCTCTGAAATTGTACTGCAAGGTACCATACCACAAAGGGAAGGCTGGGATTGATTTTGGGGGTAATTGCCTCAAAATTTTAGGAATAAGGGGCCAAAAAGGGGCAAAAAATAAGCATTTTTCTAGTTTCAGGACAATAACTTGTGTGTAAGTGTATGGATCTTTATGAAATTGTACTACAAGGTTCCTTATCACAAAGGGAAAGCTGGGTTTGAGTTTGGGGTAATTGCCTTAAACATTTAGGAATTTGGGGCCAAAAAGGGGCCAAAAAACAAGCATTTTTCTAGTTTCCAGACAATAACTTGTGTTCAAGTGTATGGAACTCTCTGAAATTGTACTGCAAGGTACCATACCACAAAGGGAAGGCTGGGATTGATTTTGGGGGTGATGAATCATAAGGGGGTTCAAAAAATTTGGGGGGGATTTTTTTTCCCTTTTTTCTTTTTTTTTCTTTAAAATTTTCCATTTTAAATTGATTCTTTCTGATTTATATATAAAAGCAAATAATAATGATATGGTTTGAATAGGTAAATTAAAATTTTTTAAGTTCTTAGACCACATTCATTCTGTGTCAGAAACCTATGCTGTGTCAAATATTTAATCACAATCCAAATTCAGAGCTGTATCAAGCTTGAATGTTGTGTCCATACTTGCCCCAACTGTTCAGGGTTCGACCTCTGCGGTCGTATCAAGCTGTGCCTAGCGGAGCATTTTATTATAGTTTAAAGGCCAATTAAAAAGAGGGGAAAGAAATGAAATATAATCAGTGTTCTCCCCAAAATTTTTTTGGTAAATTACATTCCCTCATTGTGTTATTGTGCTATGGTCAATTTTTACATTCTTGTCTTTCATTTTTGCTTACGTGCTTTGTCTATATCTCATATTGTTTTTCTTTGTTGACATATTTGTTGGTTTTTATAGTGATAAAGATTATAACACAATGTTGACTGCTGTACCCCTATAATGTCTGTTTGTTTTGTTCACACATTATTGTCAATATAATGGAATTTTATGCGACTGTCATACAAGTGAGAGATTTAGCTAATTAGCTAGCTATAAAAACCATGTTTAATCCACCATTTTCTACAATAGGAAATGCCTGTACCAAGTCAGGAATATGACAGTTGTTTTCCATTCGTTTGATGTGTTTAGTGTTTGAGCTTTTGATTTTGCCATTTGATTAGGGACTTTCCGTTTTGAAATTTCCTTGGAGTTTGGTAATTTTGTTATTTTATTTTTTCATATAGCATGTATAGTGTCCTGGTAAAAGGGAAATTTTTAATACCATTTCGTTTCTAGAAATGATAGCATCACATTCATAACACCATACATTCAGTAATCTACTTCAGTTTTGGCAAAGTTTCTATGATTTTCAGATACAAAAAAATTGGTTTTAGGTGTTAAATCTAGAAAATAAATTACCAATCATTATCACAAAATGCTTGGAATAACTGTAAGTTTATAGTTGATTAAAGAATTTGATAGCATTGTCCTTGCATTGAAACTGAGTATGAATTGAAATAAGGAAAACATGTCAAAAAGACTAAGTGTACTATAATAACTTCATTAGCAACCCTCAAATCTACAAACTGCCTCTGGTCTCATGGTAGCATGTTCGACTCATGTGCGGGAGGTCATGGGTTCAAACTCCGGCTGGGTCAAACAAAAGATTTAAAAATGTTTATTTGCTGCTTCCCCGCTAAGCACGCAGTATTAAGGAGTAAGAGCAAAGACTGGTCAGCACGAAGTCAGAATGATGTGTCCCAGTAAGGTGAAATGTCTTCCTGTGGACTGTTACCTTGTGAACTAGCACGTTAAAAATCTGGCTGTGTGTAGGTCTAGTACAATGCAGGGTTAATATTCATATACATTAACAAGTTCACGTCCTGAATATGCATATTAATTTGCCACTGGACATTAAGCAGCCATCCATCATCATCATCATCATTATCAAATCTACAATTTGCTATGAAATTCTTCTAATAAGGTACTGTTTTGCCCTATTTCACCAACCACAAAGTTACTGAAGAACTTGCTTATCCTGATTCTGACTTTGAAAGTTTTAAATATGAAAAATTTATGTAGGATGCTGGGATGCCTACTGGTTTTAAAACTTATAGACTAATAGACTTAATGCTATATATTTCAGGTTTTTGAAGATGCCTTCGAAGTTTCAGCTTGATAAAGCAGCTTGGCAATGGGCAGAAACAACTGATCCTGACAATGTCACATTTGACCATGTTCGGACAGCATACAGATTGAACTTAAAACCATGTCCATTAGGATCTTGTAAACGCAACTGTAAAGGAAACCCCCTTTGTCTCAATGCAATTGGAGAACGAGTGTGGTTTGGGAAAATTGATGATGATGATTGGCATCAAATTGAAGATCCAAATTATGAGAGGCGTGATGATGATATGTTTGTTGGACTGAAAAATCTTGGAGCCACCTGTTATGTAAACACATTTCTTCAGTTGTGGTTTCATAATCCTGTTATCCGAAATGCACTTTACAAATTCCGAGAACCAGATGAACATGTTACCAGAGATGTAACAGCAGAGTGGTCACCTTCTTCCATTGGTGGTCATCTTCAAGCATTATTTGCCTTACTTTCATTATCTGAGAGAAGATATTTAGATCCTAAAGATTTCATAACACATTTAGGTTTAGATGCTGGTCAGCAGCAAGATGCTCAGGAATTTTCTAATCTATTCTTAACATTATTAGAAGATGCCTTATCAAGACAAAGGGATGCATGTGTGCGAAATGTTATTCAAAATCAGTTCCGTGGAGAGTATGCGTATGTCACTACTTGTAATAGATGTGGGACAAAATCTGAAAGACCATCAACATTCTATGAACTAGATTTAAGTATAAAAGGACATAAAACTTTAGATGAATCTTTAAAAGATTTTTTACAGGAAGAGAAATTAGAGGGAGATAACCAGTACATGTGTTCTTCGTGCAATAGTAAACAAAATGCTACACGGAAAATACATTTAAAATACCTTCCGCCTGTCCTCAATTTACAACTTTTAAGATTTGTTTTCGACAAGAAAACAGGAATGAAAAAGAAACTGAACAGCTTTATTCAATTTCCAGAACAAATTGATATGACAAAATATTTGACTGTGAATAATTGTGCTGGAGATCCAGCCATGCCTGAAGGTGTGGAAGGGAATTCTGTTACATACAACCTTACAGCTGTATTAATACATCGTGGACCCACTGCTTACAGTGGACATTATATTGCACATATCAGAGATATAAACAGTAAAAACTGGTATAAGTTTAATGATGAAGAGATAGAGAAAATGAAGGGAAGTAAACTTCAGTTGGGTACAGAGGATGACCCAGAGGAGACGGGTGCTAAACAGAAAGGCAGATGTCCAAAAGGATATCATTCATCACGTAATGCATACATGTTGGTATATACACTAAATGAAGAAGCTCCCTGTAGTACTGATAGTAAGGCAGAAGCTCAACAACTTCTACCAGCTCATGTGTTAGATTATGTCATTAAAGACAATGAAACATTTGAAAATTGGGTGTCTGAATTAATGTTAATTAGAGATCAGAATATAGAAAGTGGAAAGGAAAAACAAGAAGAAATAAAAGAAACGTATCAGAAACTAGCCTTTGATAAACTGGAAGTCAATGAAGGAGAATGGATTAGCCAAAAATGGCTGAATTCATGGCTAACTGATCCAGCTAAAGCAGAACCAATAGACAATAAACCTTCATTATGCAAACATGACAAACTGTCCCCAGCAGCAGCCATGAAACTAAAATTTGTAAACTTAAATGGTAGTGAAAGTTTATGTAATAGATATGAAGGAGGACAAAGGCTTATTGGAGGAGATAGCTTATGTTTGCTTTGTGTCCAACAACAGTGCCATGTGATTAGGACAAAAATTAAAATGATGGAAGATGACAAACTTTTCGGCAGCATGACCAAACCCAATGTCATTTCTGGTCCTAGTTACTGGGTAGGTAAAGCTTCATTTAGGTCATGGAAGAAAATGGTATTAGAGCAACTTGGAGAAAATGATGATGATAAGAGAGATTCAACTGACATTGAACCTTCTGTAGAAAATGGTTTGAAAGAAAAAGAAAGTTCTGGTACAAAAGAAGAAGGGCAAAAAGAGAAAGATAATTCAATAACAATAGATGAAACTCTGTCTAAAGAAGAAGAAAGCTTTAAATTTAATGAAGATATTCTCTGTGAAGCTCATGATAGACTTGACCCAGATATGACATGTAGAAAGTTAGTCCCAGTAGAAGTTTGGCGTAGGCTCAAGGAATATTTTGCCAATTGTCCAGAGTTTGCTAAAGATGATCCTGTTTGTGGACAATGCAATGACCAAATGCGAAATGAACAACAAACAAAAGAATATTTGAGAAAATTGGCTCAAGAACAAAAAACAGCTCTTAATGATCTTCTAAATGACAGAAAAAGACCAATTACTCTGAAAAAACCAATAGAAGTATTTATTTTAAATAAAGCATTTTTAGAAGAATTGAGGAGATTTATTAAAGAACCACTAAAATACCCCCCAATTCAGAACATAGGAAATTCCATTCTAATATGTGAACATGAGGGTTACCTGTATCCTCAGTCTCAAGGACAGTTAGAATTATATGTAAACGATAACTTTGTTTACACATGGAGTTCAGAGTGGGACAAGATCAGTCAAATGTTCAATGTGGATTATGAAATAAGCATTATCAGCTATGAAGATGATGACAAAAACCTAGGAATTGTAACACTTCCACAAGTATGTGACGAATGTGTTGTTAGTCGTCTAAATCAAGAAGAAAATGCAAGGTTTGATTATGATGAAGCAGTTATATTTGTACGCAAAATTCCCAAGCAATTGCAGAAGTCAGCAGGATCCAGTTCTCTCAATCCTAACGAGTCAGAGAATTCTAAGGATTATGATCCAGACTTCAATCAGCATGGTTCAAAGAAAAGAGGCAGCACAAGTGATCCTTTAGAGGAACCTCCGGAAAAATTGTCCAAAAATGAAAATGGAACAAGGAAAAGTCAACGTCATAGAAAAGTGAGAGGTGAAAAAGAAGTGAAAGTAAAATCTTCACAAACTTTGAAAGATTTTAAGCTACAGTTAATGAAATTGTTTTCTGTGCCACCTTTTGATCAAACTTTACTGATGAATGGACACAGTTTGTGTGATGACACTGCAACATTAGGTAGCCTACGTATTGCACCAGGATCCATTATCATGTTACAAGCAGACGAACCTGCTGAAGACCTTTTAGTTTTACAAGATATGATCCAAGTCTCTTCTGGGCCTGAATCAGGCTTTAAAGGAACTGGACTTTTGGGAAATTCAGAAAGAATATCATAATTAGGATTTTATACAGAGTTCTAAAATTTTTAAATTTATGCATCCATCATGTCCATGTTTGAAATATTCCATGTAATCTGTCAAAAAATTGCAACAAACATGTATGGCTATTACATTGGTAATAGATTGTTATAACTTAAGTTTCGATAACTTAGTTAAGAATGAACATAATGAACCTAATTAAATTATAAATGGAAGGATTTTCTGTCATAGTTGTAGGGTATTTAAAACAAGTGATATATTTGTCAGAATTGACCAACTTATGTGTCAAACATGGTGTCAAACAGCTGGAACTCTTTTTTTTTTTTAATTTATTCAGATGGGAAAAATTTTGAAAGCTTTTTCGAAATTCATTTTGGCAAAACTTTTCTTCATTTGAATGTAATTGATATTGCATTTGTAAAATCAAAGCATAGTTTTACATACAAATCAATGGTAAATTTAAAGAGAAATCTTGGAAGCACTCTCCCATTTTGAAATTCATTGGTTTTCTATAAGCCAAGATTTCAAGACTAAATTTTGTGTTCAAAAGACTTTTTATAGTGAAATTTCTGAAAATTTTAATTGTATGTTTTGGGTATTTTTATAAAAATTACTTTGTATTGTTGTCTCATCTGGTCTACTGATATTAAATTGGAACTTTCACTTTGAATTGAACTTTGTGTATCACTTGACCCAAATCTTTCATATAATGCAAGTGTATGTGTTACTACATATTGTATTATAGACACTTTTCTCATTGATGTATACGCCAATGTTCTTCAATTTATTCTATCTTTTCTTGTTTAATTGTCTCATCTGAGACAAAGGTAAACAAATCTCTTCTGTTGGCCTCAACACTTCAATGTAAAGTTTTCTGATCAGGTCTATATCTGAATATATCAGATTTTGTGAACTATATAAATTTTTATTTCATGCTCTATACTGAATTTAATGTATACATATTTTTGATCAGGTTAGCTTTAGAAGCATTTGAAAAGAGACATCCACTCTCATTTACAAGTAGTTAGTAGCAGTTCTGAAATATCAGTTTTTTTTATTTTACTTAAAAGCAGGAAAGGCATATCTTTGTTTTTTATTGTGTTTAGGGTTGCTGTCTCATAGATGTGTTCCCCACATCTCTTTTTATTCATAAGAAACTTGACATTTCAATACCGGGTAGACATAATTATTTGTTGAAACTAAGGTTTCATGAATTGGTTCCAGAAGTTTCCCAACAAGTTTTACACTAGGGGATAGCTTCAAAACACAACAGTTTTCTACTTTGCAACCATGAGGCATATCTTCTCATTATATAATAATGGTCAGTAAAAGGTCAGATTTTTGTGAAATGGCATAGTAATCTATTCAAATATTCTTGTAAGGTCAATTTACACATATTAAAATACTTATATACATGTATGATAGGCTGTTTACCCTGAGTACTGTTTGTGTGTTTCATAGACATTTGCATTTTTACCAGTAGTTTCAAGATCAATAAAAGATCCTAACCCTGTTTATGTTTTAATGATTTTGAAATTTGTATTTGTTTTAAAATGTATTAAAATTCTGGAGATAGATCATGGGTCTGTTAATATTTGGTCTGCTCTTCCATTAGTAGCCATTGATCTTTGTTGCAAGCAAATGTAACAGTTTTAAGTATAAAAGAAGTATCCACCTGTATTCCAGCATACATTTTCATTCATAAATGGTGAATTTGACTTTTGTATTTTATTTTGTTAGAGTTACTCCCCTTTCAAATGGCTTGTTTGAGTTGCTTCAAAGCAACCCTATGGTGAGAGGTATATAATATAAATTATTGATTTCCTTGATATATTACATACTATCATCTCTTGTTTACCCAAGAACTGTCCAAAAAGAAAATGTTTGTTAAAAAATTAAACATCAGTCATATTGACTAAAGCTAGTACATTTGTGTAGTAGTAGTACCATGCATACTGGGCTTTTTAAGGCGGCTTTTGCATTTGTTTGCAATTTTAAATCAATTCAGGATTGAGGTTGTAACTTATTACTAGAAACAGCTATTCATGCAGCAAATCAGTGCTTAATTTTATTGTTCATGCTGTTAATTTATGTGTTTGAATTGTATTATAATGATTGTTAAGTGTATAATTTGTTGTAGTAAAATGTTAATTGTAAAGGTACATTTTTTCCTTTATTTCAACTGATGTAAGTGTATTTCCTATGCGTTTGAAGTATGAACTTTTATATATAAATGATGCTTACTTGCAATATTTTTTTAAGAAGAATGCACACTGATATACTTCTAACTAAATACTTTTTATACGACCGCAAAAAAATTTTTGTGGTCGTATATTGGTATGACGTTGGCGTCGTCGTCGTCGTCGTCCGGCGTCGGCGTCGTCGTCCGGCGTCGTCCGAAGACACATTGGTTTTCGCACTCTAACTTTAGTTTAAGTGAATGGATCCTTATGAAATTTTACCACAAGGTTCAATACCACAAAAGGAAGGTTGGGATTGATTTTGGGGGTTATGGTAATAACAGTAAAGGAATTAGGGGCCAAAAAGGGGCCAAAAATAAGCATTTTTGTAACTTCCAGACATAACTTGTGTGTTAGTGTATGGATCTCTCTGACATTGTACCACAAGGTTCCATATCACTAAAGGAATGCTGGGATTGATTTTGGGGGTAATTGCCTCAAAATTTTAGGAATTGGGTGCCAAAAAAGGGGCAAAAAACATGCATTTTTCTAGTTTCATGATAATAACTTGTGTGTAAGTGTGTGGATCTTTCTGAAATTGTACTACAAGGTTCCATATCACAAAGGGAAAGCTCGAATTGAGTTTTGGGGTAATTGCCCAAAACGTTTAGGAATAAGGGGCCAAAAAGGGGCAAAAAATAAGCATTTTTCTCTTTTCCAGACAATAACTTGTGTTCAAGTGTATGGATCTCTCTGAAATTGTACTGCAAGGTACCACACCACAAAGGGAAGGCTGGGATTGATTTTTAGGGTAATTGCCTCAAAATTTAAGGAATTAGGGGCCAAAAGGGGGGAAAAAACAAGCATTTTTCTAGTTTCATGACAATAACTTGTGTGTAAGTGTATGGATCTTTATGAAATTGTACTACAAGGTTCCATATCACATAGGGAAAGCTGGGTTTGAGTTCGGGGTAATTGCCCTAAACGTTTAGGAATTTGGGGCCTAAAAACAAGCATTTTTCTAGTTTCCAGACAATAACTTTTGTTCAAGTGTATGGATCTCTATGAAATTGTACTGCAAGGTACCATACCACAAAGGGAAGGCTGGGATTGAGTTTGGGGGTGATGAATCATAAGGGGTTCAAAAAATTTGGGAGAGGGATTTTTTTTGCCTTTTTTTCCTTTTTTTTCTTTAAAATTTTCCATTTTAAATTGGTTATTTCTGATTTATATATAAAAGCAAATAATAATGATATGGTTTGAATAGGTAAATTAAAAAATTTTAAGTTCTTAGACCACATTCATTCTGTGTCAGAAACCTATGCTGTGTCAAATATTTAATCACAATCCAAATTCAGTGCTGTATCAAGCTTGAATGTTGTGTCCATACTTGCCCCAACTGTTCAGGTTTGACCTCTGCGGTCGTATCAAGCTGCGCCCAGCAGAGCATTTTATTTATTGTTTACCATGCTTTACAAGCCATTTTAGTTGTTCCCATCCATGTGGTAATTAAAATTCTTGTTTCACTGTAATACCTTCCAATTAATATGAATCCAAATTAAGATTATTCAGTCCCAGGGGATGCTCCAGTTTAACAATCATAACTTATTCTGAAAGTAGTAGTACAATGTATTTGAGTTGCACTTATTTGCTCACAGAGTCCATGCTTTTTCAATTATTATTCATTCGTTTATGAAGTGACGGGCTATAAATACATAAATATTTTATCTTTGTTAATTTATCCATTTACCTATTCCAATATCTTATAAGGCTATTAAATAGTAAACTACTGGAATAGATTGTATTGTTTTTATGAAAGTATTTTGTTATGTGTCACTGTCACTATTTTCCTTTTCCCAGTAAGTTTTGTATTACCAGTTTATTGTCTGTAATATAGGAATTCTTTCAAATATGTAGACTTTCATACCTTGATTGAATATTATTGTTTGTCATGTCACATATGAACTTTATATTTATTGGATAACCTCTGAGCATCTTAGAGAGACTCATTCATTGGAAAAAAAATCATTTGCCTTTTTATGTTCATGAAGACATCTGTAGACTATATTTAACTGTATGTTTGTAACTTGAATGCAAAGAATGCATTATGTGGTTGTGAAATAGATGGAATACATTTACATGTCTTAATTTGTAACATCAGGCCTTCATTAAATGTTGTCAAGTATACAGCTTTCATTCTTCAGCCATTTGTAGTTGGTTTGTTCAAGGGTAAGAATTTACAATAAACTTTCTATCCACTCAGGGAGTTAATAGGGAATCAATATTTTATTTTATTTTTACAATTCCTACATTTCCATTATTTTTTTATCACATTGCAAGTAGAACAAGCAAGCACAAAGACTTGTATTGGAAATAACAACTGTTATTCAATATTGAAATATGGAGGTGACAATAGCCAGATGTAATAATTTGGAAAAAACATTAATGTGAATTTTCACCAATTGGTAAATGTACAGGACCATCTCCAAAATATACAGATTTAGGCTACATTTAATAATGGTCTTCATTGATGAATGGAAAATCACACAAACAAAAATGTTTAAAAAGGCTGAAATAAAGTTTAGAAGACCTGGATGCTGCATATCTTGTATGCAGATAAAATTGAACTGGAAACAGGGAATGTGTCAAAGAGACAACAACAACCTGACCAAAGAGCAGAAAACAGCCCAAGACCACCAATGGGTCTTCACAGCGAGAAAATCCTGCACCCGGAGGCAGGCTTCAACTGGCCCCTAAACAAAAAGGTTTACTAGTTCAGCGAAAATGGACATCACACTAAACTCTGAAAAATTAAATGAATCAAAATTAAAAATAACATACACGACAAACAAAGGCCAGAAGTTCCTGACTAGGGACAGGCGCAAAAATGTGGGGTTAAACATGTTTTATGAGATCTCAACCCTCCCCTAGTATACCTCTAGTCAATGTAGAAAAAACAAACACACAGCAATACGCACAGTAAAACTCAGTTTAAAAGAAGTCTGAGTCCAATGTTAGAATAGGTAACAGAAGAAACTAAGTATACATTCTTTTTAGTGGCCAGCTGAAGCCCGCCTCTGGGTGCGGAATTTCCTCACTGTGTTGGAAGACCCATTGTTGGCCTTGGGCTATTTTCTGCTCTGGTTGGTTGTTGTCTCTGATGCATTCCCTGTTTCCATTCTCAATTTTAAAATGACAATGACAAGATGCCTTATGGTGATATCTCCATTGTCCTTGACTGCATTTTCATGGTTAAGCAACTAATTAAAAAAAATATAGTTTGTCATGTGAAATACTCGCCTATGATGAGTAATAGGATAACTATATTTGGTTTAGATTTCGTGGTCTACTCCTTGTATGGAATGATTGTAAGGTGTACATGTCAATCTTGCACATTTCATCTGACCTTGACCTCATTTTCAAGGTTTATTGGTCAATGTTAAGTTTGTGGTTTCATCAGTTTAAATGATATTAGGCTATAGCTAGGGGTCAACTTTATTTGATGTATGATAGGACTGTAAAGTATACACATCTCTCTGGCAGGGTTGACTTAACCCTGACCTCATTTTCATGGGTTATTAGTCAATGTTAAGTTTTCCTGATTAGGTCTCGTTCTCAGATACTATAATCTTTAGGTCAACTATATTTCATGTATGGAATGATAGTGAGGTGTAATAAATGTCTGTATGAATGGGTTCTTCTTAACTTGACCTAATTTATGTCTTTTTTTCGTCACAGTATGCAAGACATGGGTATTGCTATCCTGCGACGATGTAAATTATTTGAATAAAGCTTTATATTTCAGAAGGTAGATTTGTCCATTGTCCTTGACCTCATTTTCATGGTTTAGTCAACTTTAGTGACCGTGAAAAAAATTGGTTTTTTGTCATGTGAATTTCTCACTTATTATGAATATAAGGATAACTATATTTGGTATATGGGTTCTTTGCAATGCCTACATGTCCTTTAGAAAGTGTTCACCTGACCTCGACCTCATTTCATGGATCAGTGATCAAAGTTACGTGATAAGGTCGGTTTCTCAAATACTGTAAGCAGTATTTCAACTATATGTGGTGTATGGAATGATTATAAAGGGTACATATAGGTCAGACAGGTTTCATCTGACCTTGACCTCATTTTCATGGTTCATTGGTAAATGTTAAGTTTTTGTGTTTTGGTTTGTTTTTTAAGTCCTATAATCAATATGTCAACTATGTTTAATGTATAGATTGAATGTAAGGTGTAAACGTTTGGTCTAGCCAGTATCATCTGACCTTGACCTTATTTTCATGGTTCATTGATCAATTTTAAGTTTTTGTGTTTTAATTGATTTTCAAATACTAATAGCAATAGGTCAGCTATGTTTGGAACAATTTTAAGGTGTTCATGTCTGTCTGGCAGGTGTTATACGACCTTGACCTAATTTTTTTGGTTCATTGGTCAACAAGTTTTCATACTTTTGTAAGTTTATCAGATACTATAAGCAACAGGTCAACTATATTTGGTGTATGGAATGATTGCAAGATGTATATGTCTGTCTGCCCTGGAACATCTGACCATGACCTCATTATTTTAGAACATTGATAATGTTAAGTTTATGTGATACTTGTAGTAAAACCTTCATGTTACAGACTTTCAACATAAATTCAATGATAAGTAAAACAGGCGAGACATTTCAGTGTGTGCACTCTCATCTTTGATCATTGGTCAATGTTAAGTTTATTGTGATTAGTTCCATTTCTTAGATACTAAAAGTTGTAAGTCAACTTAATTTGACTAATGGAATGATTGTAAGTTGTACACTTTTGTCCATTCATCTTAAGTTGACCTTATTTTCATTGTTTATTGGTCAACATGAATTTTTGGTTGCACCCTTTTCTCAACAAGCAAGAGGTAAACAATTTTTTAGTAGGGAAAAGCGTTCATCTTGCAGGATCTGTATGACCTTGATCTTAAAGATTTTCAACATCAAATTCAATGATGATTAGAAAAGCAGGCGAGACTTCTTCGAGTGAGCACCATTGTTTTTTTCTCACCTGCAAAAATTCTAAAAAAAATCCAAGATAAAGGGATTCTAGTCCAACAGTGACTGTAAACTTTTTATTAAACTTTATATATCAGATGCCTAATAGTCTGGCATTTGACCTTATTTCATGGTTTTGTGACAGCATAAACTTCATCATTTACTTTTTTTATCATAAGATTATATTCTGTTATTTAGACTAATAGGAAAATTGGATTTAGAGTTTTGCCTGTACAATTTCAATAACAAACATGGCAGAGTAAAACATTGAAATTTTCCTATTTCTTGCTTTAAGTACTCCATAATTTACAACCCTGCCCTGCAATTTTAATTTTTGGAGTGTGGAGACGGTGGACAATACACAGCCAAATTCAGTTACTTAAAAGGAGTTATCTGATAATTTTGGTGCAGATATGAAGATAGGTAGATCTTGCCATTCGTAGCCTTTTTGTACTGTTGAATTTTCTCTTGTCTATTGTGGTTTTCAAGATATGAGACAATTAATGCATTTTACCTCTATGTTCTACTTTTAGCCATGTAGGTGGCAGGAACAAAAATCAAAAACTTTTAGACTAGATACCTTCAGACTAAATTTGTCTAGTGGTTTCAGAGAAGATTTTTTTTTAAAAGTTAACAACAACGATAGTGACATAAGCCAAGTGATGCCAATAGCTCATAGGGCCAGTTGAGCTAATTAAACAACTGATAAAGACTCATTAGAAAAGGTTTTTTTCAGGGTTGGCCAGATATCATAAATGTTGCAGATTGCAGGGCCAAAATTTGTGACTTAACTTTCATTAGGTGCTGAGGTGTCTTTTATAACTCCCTGCCTAAGATACATGTATATAATACAATGAATTGATGCTAGCCTAAATTAACTCAAGTCAGTGACTGAATAACCAAGTAAAAGAGTTAAAAGTGTTATAATTTTTTGTATATTTTAATTATGAGGTAAATAATTCATGCACCAATAGTCAATCATTCTAGTTCAGGTCCAGCAAAATATTTTGCAGTGAGGTGTCTTCTTCTAACTGGCTGTTTGCAAACTGGACAAACTTTGCTAGTCTGAAAATATAAACTTCATGGTCAGTGTCATTTGGTGGAAAGATACTCAAGGCAATAACCCAGTAATCTGTGAAGCTTATAGTCATTCACATGCAGTACATCAATTGTTTGAATGTATAATGGTACAATATCTAATTCTGGATAGGACCATGGTCTATTGTTAAAACATATTCATGTGATGGACAGAGCTTACCTCTTGATTTGAATGTGGTCAGGGCCGTAACTAGCCTCTTTTAAAAGTGAGGCCAAATATATTAGCCGAGCGAAGCGAGGTGAAAAAAATTTCGGTGAGGGGTCATGGCCCCTAGAAGCTCTGGAAAAAATGACGCAAAATTGTGCATTCTGAGCGTTTCTCGGACCCGTTCTTAATCTGAAACGCAAGTTTTGTTTTAATTATGTTTTCGACAATATTCTGGTCTCGAAGCAAAATATATAGATTCATTGTAAGACTAAGTGTTTAGGGACAACATCAAAAGTCCGATAAGTAGGATAAAGCAAAAATCGTATTTCACATAATTAAGTGTGTGGCTGCTGTTTTTTTGTTTTTTTAATTGAGTTTCGGCTTGCAGAAAACGTATTATACCTGTCAATTATTTTTTTTTTCAAATCAAGTTAAGAGGGCACTGATTATCATTTATTTAACTATGTGAATTCAGATTTTATAACGCATTTCAATTACAACTTGATGTAGTTCCTAACTGGGATAAAAGGGTACACTCAGGGTAGACTCAGGAAAACTGTTCTTAGACCTCATTGCTACATTTTATACCGGCTAATTAATGTCGGATCTGTCTGTTCTGGTCTTGTATTGTGTTTATACTTTGGTGTATTTTTTTGTGACTTTGAAATTTATTCACAGTACAATACTTTAAGTACCGCTTAAGTCGAGGCTAGGGGCTGTCTTGGACTTGTTGTAGGGTATGAATGATTCTTCCATTGTTGAAGACCCTCAAGCGACTGTCAAGATGAAGAACAGGAATAAAAACCCTGTTCACTGATAATTTGTACTTTTTCTATGTTGTGTGTGCGATTTTGTCCCATGCACATTTACTCCATATCCCTTTATTTTCTATTTAAGGACCTGAACACGGCTTAATGCAAGTTTAGCCCTTCAATGTAAAAGGTCGTATGGCAATACATGATTTTTCTTTTTAAATGATTTGATTCCGGGAGATTGGTTGCCTCACTTTAATTTAACCCATGTTAGCTTTTTAGTTTTATTTACAGAAAAGAGAGCCAGTCTTGTATTCTTTAATATAAAGTTTAATTTTCCATGAAAAAAAACGACCAATTTTTCTATGTCCGGTAGCATCGAATATTCTCAAAACCAATTTTTCGAACAATATCTGGACATTGCTGGACATGCAACATTGCCAAACCACACAACCTTTCACCCGTTATTGTTGATCTTTCCCAAGTCTTAAGTCTACTCAAAGCAGAGAATGAACGTTTACAACATACAGATGCTACGAGAAGAATCAAAAACAGCTTAGTATTGGACAACTGAAGTGTTAGTCATAAAGATTGATTGATTGATTGGTGTTCGCTTAACGCCGCCGCAGAACAAAAAAAGCGAGAGCTAATTTCAAATATTTTTACAATTAAAAGTAGTTTTTTAAAATTAGACAAAAGGTCCTTAAATATAATAAAACTCAAGTTTAAAACAAAATTAATAAATTGAATTTACAAAGGAAATTCAACACTAAGACAATAGTCATAAAGAAGGGCAATAAACGAACAAAAGACAAACCCGGTAACAGATAAGACACATAACGACAAATAATAGACCATCAACACTGAAAACTAAAAATAAATGAGGAACGTGGATCCCGAAAAACAGAACAGAACTTGCATCTTGCAAGACACTCGCCGTGAAAAAAATTTGATATGAAGACAAGCTTTTGTTTCAACTTATCATTTTTTTTTCGAAATTTTCAACATGAGGCATTTGCCTCAATGTAGTTACGGCCCTGGTGGTCTAAGATAATTATGTATGAAACTAAGTACCTTTTGTACATTCAATGACAAAAATGTTCTAAACATGGGAAACCAGAAAAAAAAATGATCATAATTGGTAACAAATAAGAGGTGCACATTTTAAATGTGTGCAATCAATGTGCAAAGTTTGAATGACACTGAAGGAATACTATTAGAGATACACATGGTACAAACTAGGTATCCTCTGTGTGTTTTGGATGGAGTGGATCAATAATAGATCTGATCTAATAACCTCTAGAAATGCAAATAAAAATAGGCAAAATATGTGTCAATATTGTCAATTAATCACCAATAACTTGATAACTGTAAATCTTATAATCAGATTTATGGTAGATAAGACATGAAAATTAAACTTTTCTAGTGATTTTTACATAAAATGGTATTGATTTACTAGTAATTAACATATGTTTTTTTATATAGCAATAAACATTTCATTGTATTAAAATCATCTATCATAGTCTTACTAAAAATGTAAAGTGAAAGAAAAAAATGTTAACAGGAAAAAATAAGCATATCGTAGGCTGCAAAATAGCAATTTTCATACATCACTCAAACTTTATATGATTTGGGTTTTTTTACCACTTGCTAAAACTTACATCAAAAGCTGTTCTCCAACAAGGAAAACAACAGATATGTCCACATCCTGCTTCAAATGGTCTTTCTGCATTTTTTTGGCAGCATTCACAATTATATCCTATAAGTATAAAACATTTGTTCTCTGTATCATTGTTAAGGTTTTATGATAGTATTTTTTTTGTAATGCAGGTAATGCAACACTTTACATATGAGGCCTTCATAAGCTTGTCATATGCTGGAAGTTTATACTTATCTATGGTGTCCATGTGGTGAGTCAGTTGCTAGTTTTTATTCTATACATTTGGGATATTTTCTTCTTTAAATCTACCCCAAATCTTTTCATTTTCATTATAACACGAACTGTATAAATAATAAAACTTATTTCAATTTTCAATAATATTTTTATTATCACAATTCTACATGCAATCAAATGATTTTTTTCCTTTTGTTGTTACAGATTAACAATAATAATCTGTGCACATTAATCCCTGTATGTCTGTTGTTAAATATTACCTTTTAGTGTATTGTCCCATACATTCTACATGTACACAAAAAATGGCAAGTTTTAAGATGTGTTAAAGGTTTTAAGGAAATAAAACCACGGAATCTTGAGCTATTGTACAAGTGTGTAGTAAATAAACCTTCCATGATGGACAGATTTAAACTGCTATATTATGTAAATGTCAGTTAATCTTAAACCAACAAAGATACAACAGAGAATGACCTTGGTATAGAATAAGTTTATACTTATTTTAGTTTTTTTCTTTCATTATAAGAACATTGTCGCTAGTTTGGTGATTGTTTAATAGCATACAATAACAATATCTGAAATCCATAAACGTTTATATAGTAACACAAGTCTACAAGTGTATATTTACCTGATGGATATTTACTTGGACAAGTTATGTCATCAGCCTTTACAATAACATTGCTATCATGCTTCCGAGATGGTGAACATGGTTCTGTTTCTTCAAATAAATCCTCTGAACTTTGATTTAGATAGTCTGATTGTTTTACTGATGAGGATGGCACATTTTCTACATTGTTTTTAGTCAAAGGACAGTTCTCACTTTGAATAGTGTTATTTGATACATTAACTTCCTTAGGTAAGTTTACTGCTATTTGTTTTGCTGTATTAGAAGCTTCAGGTAAACTGCTTAAATTTGTATGGATAGTTTTCTGTCGTTTATCTGCATTACCTAGATAAGATATTTAAATTCAGTCAAGACCATAAATAATATCATACAATATATTCAAGTAAAGCAAGATTTTGAATCCATGGAGTTTCACTCAGCAGAGTTAAAAATGCATGTTTTTTGTGACAAATAGATTTTCAATAGATTTTCATTGAAGTTATATGTTCATGAGTTTCTTATGATATTGCCATAAACATTATCACATACAGAAGTAAAAATAACAATTGGCATTAAATAACTTCCACTAGACCTAATATTAATCTTTTACTTTTCAAGAAAGAGTTGGAATAAACTGTTAAAAAAAGAGGTATGTCTCATCTGTGTAGCATGTCATCTATACAAAAGTTTCAGTCAATGGATCATGACTAGAGAGGTGAGCCAATAATCTCCATGGAAATGAAATGTCATGACTAGAGAGGTGAGCCAATAATCTCCTTGGAAATGAAATGTCATGACTAGAGAGGTGAGCCAATAATCTCCATGGAAATGAAATGTCATGACTAGAGAGGTGAGCCAATAATCTCCATGGAAATGAAATGTCATGACTAGAGAGGTGAGCCAATAACCTCCATGGAAATGAAATGTCATGACTAGAGAGGTGAGCCAATAACCTCCATGGAAATGAAATGTCATGACTAGAGAGGTGAGCCAATAACCTCCATGGAAATGAAATGTCATGACTAGAGAGGTGAGCCAATAATCTCCATGGAAATGAAATGTCATGACTAGAGAGGTGAGCCAATAATCTCCATGGAAATGAAATGTCATGACTAGAGAGGTGAGCCAATAATCTCCATGGAAATGAAATGTCATGACTAGAGAGGTGAGCCAATAACCTCCATGGAAATGAAATGTCATGACTAGAGAGGTGAGCCAATAATCTCCATGGAAATGAAATGTCATGACTAGAGAGGTGAGCCAATAATCTCCATGGAAATGAAATGTGCCAATAGTAATACAACTGCATGCAAAATATCATGGACTTATTATTTTTTTGGAAACTGATCTTCTTACTAATATGTAACTGTCAACTAGTTCTGAACATCTCAGTGTACACAAGATATGAACTTTGATGTAATTTTTTACTGAAGTCCGTAAAGCATGAAAAAGATATCCTTTATTTGCTAAGATACTGACCAACTTTCTTAAATGTGCATTCAATGAATATTAAATCAACCTAAACCTTATTGTACATGATACGTAAACTTTGAAAATGCTAAAAAATTTTCCAAAGTTTTATTTTGCTGTTGCTTTTTCTATATCAATTATTTTTTTCTAATTTTGCATTTGTTTTTGTTTTTTCTAATTTTGCATTTGTTTTTTTTTTCTTTTTTCTTCATACATGAATATTCAAAATTCAATATTTAATTAACTGGTACAGTAAATTCCGAATGCAAAGTGTCTTCCCCAAGTTTTATTTTGCTGTTGTGTTTCCTATTTAAAATTTTGTTATTGTTTCTTTGTTGTTTATCAGTAAAAAAAAACACACATTAAGATATTGTACCAAGAATTTGATATTCCTAAAATATTGCTCACATGAGTTATCTGTATGTAGCCTCTTTCTGAGAATGGAATCTTCTGGTCGGTAACCACACCCAGTTCCTGTTATACTTTTACACAGCTTGTCATATTCACATTTATCTTTAGGTCTCACAAAACGATAAAATTCTGGAAAAAGTATAAAGTCAATATGAATACAGGAATTAATAAACAGCTGCGCCATGAGCGCATGATACGCCCATCGTCTTGTGTGTGAATTTTTATGCAATAAGCATAAATAGTTTCTGACATACGGCGTGACATGCGAAAACCCCCTTTTTTTTTTACAAAAAACTCAATATCTCTAAAATAAATTTTGAATCAAAACCAAAATGTATACAGATCTTTAGATTAATATAACTAAGAAGTGTGTAAAATTTTAAGCAATAATCATAAATCATTTTTGAGATACGGCGCGACATGTGAAAAAAAAACACACACCTGTTTTAGTTACTAAGTCCCGTAACTCAAAAAGTTTTAATGTTATTTTCACCAAAAAGTATACAGATTGTTTGACCATCATAAGAAACAACTATGTGAAGTTTCATGAAATTTGGATAAGTCATTCTCAAGTTACGGTGCGACATGTTTACACCGGACAGACAGACGGACGGACACTGGACATTTGTATACCATAATATGTCCCGTCAAAAATTGACGGGCGTATAAAAAATAATGCATTGGATTTTGCTTTCATATCAAAGCTAAATAAACAAAAGTCTGGTTATTTGCTACAATTTGTCATAAATAAGAAAATAAAAGTAATACCAAGACCTCCTCCAATGTGGATGTAAAGTTACTATATAAATAATCTTTAATAAAATGTAGTTTCACACTCTTTCCCAGATCATATTTTATATTAAATTTTATACTCATTCTTTAAATGTACATTTTAATGACACTCCTATCTCAGGCGTTTGTCAGGGTGGAATTCTTTTCTAAGCTTTAACCAACCAGATACAATATTATTGGTAATAGGGGTTTTCCTGTAATTATCAACAACAAATAGAGGAATTTGAAAACAAAGTAAATACACATTGGAACATACAATCATGAAAGTGTTTGTCAGATTACTTCTTTTAAAAATTAAATATGAAAATAAATATTCAATTTATAGTCTAGCATTATATATATAGAATACATGTGTTTATTTGCAGAACATTGCACATGTACAAATTGTCTTATCATCAAACATCAGAGATCCTACATGTAAAGTGTTCTGGTGAACATGGGCATACTTATATCTGTATAAAATTGCATATGGGTGTTTTCCTTTTGATTTCATTAACGGATAAAATGACATAGGGTTGGCACATTAAAATAGGGTTGGTCTGTCAATTGTACACATTTTTTTGTCTAATGAAGGTGCCGAAATTAAAATGTACATGTATGTTCATTCTCTGAAGTCTGGAAAGAGATTTGGTGTATGTGTATAAATAAACAAGAGTTAAAAAGAGCAATATATAGTGTATGATATCCTATGACAAATTTGTTAACAGTATCAAAATTATAAATATTTTGATGATTAAATATGTTATCAAAATACTCTAGTTTAAGTCAATATATTGCTAATGGTTGGTAACCACATAGAGCCTCATATATTCCAAATCATTGTCTTATGTACTGGGTAGGTAAAGGAATGTATAAATAGATTGATGTTTAACATTCAGAGGCAAATATTACATGCATATCATGATGAAAACATTTAATGTTAATGTGAAATGGATATGAACCCTACTTTGTACTAGACCAACATACTGAGCCAGATTTATAACATGCTAGTTTACATGCAAAAGTCAGAAATAGCATCCTACTCAGACATATTAACCAGAAACCAAGCCAACCAGTCTTCTCTTTCTCCTAAATGCTGCATGCTTTGTGGAGAAGCAGAATATACCATTTTTTCAAGTCTTTGGTTTGGCCCAGTATAGGATTGAATCCACAACCTTACTCACTTGAGGTTAGCACACTTTTAGAGACCAATGAATCCATAGGAACTCAATGCTGAATGTTATATTTTAACAAACCTCTAAAGAAAGGATAAAGCTGACTGTCTTCTGTAAAAACCCCAACTAAAACTGGAGTCAACTGTTGAAAATCTCCAATCTTCTTATAATCTACTAATGCCTTTGAAAACATCTTGTATCTTTCACCATATAACACTCTTTTTACCTGAAAACAAAGTTAAGTCCAATTTGCCACATAATAAAAAAATGTTTCTGTAACTCAATTAAATATAAAAAAATAAGGAGAATATATGAATAAATTATTCATTTCAATACAATTACTAGAAGGACAAAAATGTTAAGTAAAAGCAGGAAACATTCCCCACTTAACTTCATTACTAAAGCTGCAAAAAAGGGACTAGAGGCTCCCAGGAGACTGAATTGCTTGTCTTGCATCAATTCCTAATGTTAAATGCAAGAAAGCCTTTTAAGCCTCTTAGTAATTACAAGTTTATACAGAAATGAACTAATTTCAATAATGGCTTGTAAAATATAAAATTGCTTCATGAAACAAGATAAAACAATATTCAAGTTCTTGTCCAAAGTAACAAACCTCTTTAGTAGTTGTCATATCTTATTGCTATTGTTATTTGGAGAATTTTTTGTTTGCAGATTTATCTTATTGCTTTTGTTATTTGGAGAATTTTTTGTTTGCAGATTTATTCAGAACTTGTTTTTAGAATGGACTAAAAGAGCTTGATAATTTGAAGACACCTGTCTATTGTTGAAGACTGTATAGTGACCTTTAGATGTTTTTTTGGTTATTCATGTCATTTGGTTACTGTCTCATTGACGTAAACCCCACATCTCCTTCATGCATACAAAAAGTTATGGCATCATGGGACATTTTGTTCATACAATGGTTAGTTTCAATGTTGGCATTAAAAGTACAACATCATCTCATCACAATACACCAGGAAAAATATTTTCTTAAAAGTTACAATTATAACTTTAAAATTTATCAAATGTTACTGTGGTAATGTATTTTTTGGCAATTTGGAAATGCTAATGACTTAGAACATAAAAGTCCTTCTATCCTTTTTCCTTCACATTGATTTAGTACTATCATTTGGTACATTTTATTGATGTCCCATTAATCTCAATGCCATAAATCTTGTAAAAATAATTCAGATTTGTCAATTCTTTTTTTTGGCTCCAACTTTCAAATGAGAGATTTGTAAGTTTATGGACTATTGTGGTGTGACCATACACAAACCTCAGCTATATAAGACTCAGCTGTTTGTAAATGATTAGATTTTACTGTTGATGGTATGTCATCTAGAATGTCAGCAGCAGAACTCTTACTATCTGTTTCCCCTCTTTTCTGAAATTAAAAGATCAAATTTCACTGTAAATTCAAACTCCACATTTGTGATAAAAAAGAGCAATATTTTTACCAAATTCAGTTATTAGTTTTTAAGGGGTACCTAATTAGAAAATGAAAGACTGATAAGACCATGGACGAAATAGAGCTTTAAATGACATAAACCAGGTATAAACTAGAACTGTGAGTGAACTCACAAAAGGATAGCCTACCCTACTTGCATGAGACTATTACCACATATTGTAAATATTGAAGTAAATAATTTTGATTATCTCCCTTTTAAATTGCAGGACCAGTACTATATTCCGTTATTCAATTTCTGAGGTAATGTTCTACAACTGTGTATAGTTTTATCAACAAGTATGCACACGTTGCTGTGCTAAACATACACCCACTGATAATTCAAAGCATAGGAAAACAGGAAGTTGGTGTCCGAAGATCTGAATTTGTTCTGTTTGTGTGCAGAAATTACAAATGTTTAGATTGTCTGTAGGTATCAAACTTTTTATCATGTCACTTCTCAAATATCTTAAACTGCAATTAGTTATTACCTTAATTGTAATCTTCTTCCTAGCCTGCTTTTTGTAGACCATTTTATCTGGTGGAAGTCTAAATGGTGAACCCTGAAATATTAACCTGACATTATCATAATTTCAGTCTGTACAACTGCCTACCGGTACATCAAAACATGGACTTTGTATTTGTCTCTGTTTTTTTCTTATTCTTACAGCATTAATTGTTAATTTCATATAAGGATTAACATGTAGTTACTTCAAAAGATTGGAGAGTCAGTGACTAATAGAATCTGAAAGAAAAGGTAATAGAACCATTGTTGTAGGCATTACTCCTCTAACAAACAAATCTCAATGACCATATATTTCAATAATTAAATGATAACTAATAGGATCTTTTACAATATTCTATGACATTTGTGAAAGCATACTTCTACTACTAATAATAAAAATATTACCTGACTATCATTATCTGGTGATTTACACTGAAAATAAATATGTGTAATTTCAACTGCAAATTAAAAAAAATATAAATCATACTTTTCCATATACCGGGTATATCTAAGTAAACAAGCAATCAATATCTTAATATTCATTCAACATTCTCTGCTGAAAATTCTTTAAAATTCTATTTTTTTAAGAACAAATTCTAGCACTTTATTCTGAAATTTTATAAAATGCCTAAAATATTTGAACATTAGACATTTTGATGAGTTTAAAGTTTAAAACAACTCCATAGCAAATTAACAATAAAACTTATTAAAAGCATATTCCAGATGTGAACAGGTTAATAGGATAAGAGAATCTTCCTGCTAGTCCAACATGCTGAGTCACATTTTTAACATTCTAGTTCACAAGGTAACATGTTTTCCTGATGACTGTTACCTTGTGAACTAGAATGTTAAAAATCCTCCAGGTGTGGGATTTTCTTGCTGTGTTGAAGACCCATTGGTGGCCTTCAGCTGTTTTCTGTTCATTGGTCAGGTTGTTGTCTCTTTGACACATTCCCCATTTCCATTCTCAATTTTATCCTACTACACAATTTTTTTCACCTCCAAGCCGTCCAGACATTGCTCTTAATCCCACATGCTTAGAGGAGAAGTAGCAAATATCAATTCTAAAGTTTTTGGTTTGACCAGGAACAGAGATTGAACCCATGACCTCCTGCACTTGAGGAGAGCAGGCTTTATATGAAACCTCCAATATAGTTTGGTCTTAATCAATGATAAGTCTTGCATCCTAAAAAATCTGTACAATTACTGTTGAATAAAAGGTTTTATTGGTATGATAATTAAGATATTACTATAGTTGTTTCCTTTAAGAAAAGAATGAACTAAGGCTGGAAAAGGGCACAGACTTTGCTTCCAATAAACTGTTAACACAGAGATATGTCTTGCCTTTTTGTTATTTTAATAATGCAAATGTTGAAATTAAAATTACAATACATGCATTAACTTGTAAACTATATGAAAAAGTTTCAAAGTCAATGAACCATGCTGAGGGGGTGGGGCCATATAATCTCCATGGAAATGAGACTTTCATTGACTTAACTTTAGTGGTTCATCTTAAACTGATTTAATCACAAATTTTAATATGTAAACTATGCAATTATTCAGTCAATAGACCACGACTGAAGGGGCTGGGCCAAATAATCTCCATGGAAATGAAATGTGCAAATGCTAATACATCTGTATACAAAATATCATTGATCTACTACTAATGGTTCCCCTTAATCTGACCTAATCACAAACTAATACATGTAAACTAAGCAAAAGTTCAAAGTCAATAGACCATGACTGAGGGTTAAGGAGCAAATATTCTCTATGGAAATGAGATGTGCTAATGTTTATACAACTGTATACCAATAATCATTGACCTATCACTAATGATTCCTCTTAAACTGACCTTCACAAAATAATACATGTAATCTAAGCAAAAGTTTCAAATTCAATAGACCATGGCTGAGTGGGTGGGGCCAAATAATCTCCATGGAAATGAGATGTGTCAGTGCTAATACAACTGCATACCAAATATCATTGACCATACGACTAGTGGTTCACCATAAACTGACCTAAATACAAACTAATACATTGTTGAAGCTGCCGCTGAAAACAGCATACCTATGTCTCGCATTTTGACTCCTTCAAGGCGAAACAAAAACAGGAATGACAAAAAATTAATAATTATAAGTTCAAACACTGAAACTCCTGAACATACCTCACTGTCTGTTAATGCTCCAAGTAATCCTCTTTTAATTTCCTGAGTTGAAGATGAAGTTTTGCTACCTCCTTCATACTGAATACTTAACTTAGCATAGTTATTACTGCTATCTACCAAAATAATACATTTTCAAAATTAACAATCCTTGTTAGAATGTACTTAATATCCATAATGATAGGTTGTGCCATCTTGCCTTTTCAAGAGACATCGGTGATTAATACCATTATGTCATGTCATCATGTCATGTAATGTACTATATCAAGATAGAAAGAGGTTGTTACCATGCTATTGTACTTTTTGTCCAAATATATATAAATTTCAACAACTAATGAGCCCGAAAACCTATACTGTTCTTGAAAAACTATGTAGATGTATAAAAAAATATAAATGTGAGGGTCACTCCTCCTGGTTAGTTTGTAATTCAATACTTTATGTCTGTATTGTTCACATGTGCTTTAGTATTTAATGTAATTGTTTATATATATATTCTCTGTAACTATGTAATTTGTAGTTAATGAGAAATAAAATTCATTCATTCATTCATATTTCAGAGTGAAATAACAACTGAAAAGAAAACAACTGACACAGCAAACTTGTTTCACACATATATAATGTATCACTATTAAACTTTGTGTTGGTTTTTTTTAAATCATGTAGTTAATTAAATCCTGACAGTTTAGTAAATAAAATTTATAAATCAATTGTTAACAGTTACTCACACTGTTGTTTTGGATTTGACCACCAAAATTTTGCAAAGGATCGACACAATTTTGGTATTTTGCAATAGAAATAATATTGAGGACCAGCAGATGAGTAAAAAAAGTTTTCGTGAAGTCTGAATGTAAGAAGAACAAGTGTACACATGTTGAAATGTCTTTTCTACTTTACTGATTATGATTGAATTTCATGCTGAAAATCCTTAAGATTAACTAACGTCTTACTAATAACATAAACTTAACATTATCATGGTAATTATAATGATACTTAAAAATGAGGTGAATGTCAGATAAACCATGTTATAGAGTTCACATAGTGGTCCAACGGATTTGACCACCAAAATTTTGCAAAGGACCGACACAATTTTGGTATTTTGCGATAGAAGTAATATTGAGGACCAGCAGATTTTCTTCAAGGACCACCTGAGAAAAAAGTTTTCGTGAAGTCTGAATGTTAGGTGGACTTGATTACCCAATATAGTTGACCTATTACTAGTTTCTATGTAACATTAACCTAACCTTTGGAAAGTTTCATACTTTTGTTACATTGACTTAACCTTTGGAATGACTACTTCAGTAACATTGGCCTTACATTTGGAATGTTTCAGACTTATGTTATGCTGACCTAACCTTTGGAATGTTTCAGACTTATGTAACATTGACATAACCTTTGGAATATTTCAGACTTATGTAGCATTGACATAACCTTAGTAATATTTCAGACTTTTGTAGCATTGACGTAACATTTGGAATAATTCAGACTTACGTAACATTGACATAACATTTGGAATGTTTCAGACTTATATAACATTGGCCTAACCTTTTGAATATTTCAGACTTGTATAACATTGGCCTAAACTTTGGAATGTGTCAGACTTATGTTACATTGGTTACCTTTGGAAAGTTTTAGACTAATATTACATTGGCCTAACCTTTGGAATATTTCAGACTTGTATAACATAAGAACAACCTTTGGAATGTGTCAGACTTATGTTACATTGGTTACCTTTGGAATGTTTTAAACTAATATTACATTGGCCTAACCTTTGGATTGTTTCAGACTTGCAACATGGTCAGATACTTTTCCAGCTTTGACAAGATTTGTAGGACCAGCTGATCTTGACATAGTTGGAAGGAAATATGCTCCAGGTGAATTTTTTATACCAATCTTTTTCTTAGGCTTTGATGCAGGCATCTGTAATTAACAGAAATTACATTTTATGCTTAGAAGTTCTACTAGTCATGCTTGGTATGTACAGATGTATTTACACTTTTGGCATTTAGCTGAATATTGTGTTGGAATGACTCCAGATCTGTCTAGGAATAACATTCTGAGGTCAAGCAACCATTACTTTTTAATAATGATGTCAATTTTTTAAAATTGTGATGCAATATTTCACTGGAACTTACATGATTTAAAGTAATGGCAGACAAATTTGCATACAAGTATAAATATGTCTATTGGATCATCACTCTTAGCATTTCACAAAAATAAGTATAAGGTAAAGTTTGTCAAGTAGTTGCATCAACTATTTTATGATCAATTTTAGATTATATTGGACATTAATAATATAACAAGTATCAAATTTTATGAGTAAATTTTTATTCTATAAAAAAAATAATTACCTTCTGTTCAGCAGTTTTAAAGAACACTGTTATTTCCTTTAGTGCTTGTCCAAAGTTTTGACACTTTTGAACATTTGGCCTCACCCAGATTGGCAACTGACTTATTGAATCAGGTGATGAAAACCTAAAATAAAAACTAAGATACTTATTTGAACTGTACAAACCATTTTAAAAAGTTGTCCCTAGTATTTTTCAATCTTAAAATAGTCACAACTACACTATTTTTAGTGTGCAATCTTCTAAAAAAATAACTCATGTATTATAAAACCCCACAAAATTAACAATGTAGTTTTGATGTGGTTTTTTAAAGAACAAATGGTATTTTATATAGATCTGTATAATAGGGGAAATTTTGGCATGGTCAAACCAAAGACTTGAAAATAGGTATTTGGTACTTCTTCACTTAGCATGCAGCATTTAGGGAAAAGACCAAAAATAGGATGCAAAGGAGTGAGAATGATGTTTCTAGGTAAGGCATGTCTTCCTGCAGTTTCCTTGTGAACTCCATTTTGTTAGATAAATGTTTTTCCTTTTTTGAAGATTCAACCATTGCTTGATTGTTGGTACAACCATCCACTGTTTGATTGTTAGTACAACCATCCACTGTTTGTTAGTACAACTAAAATCTCAGTGGCTTCATGGTTGTGTGATTACTTTGATTGTGGAAGGTTGTATTCTTGTTCTTAAGCCTAATCAAAGTAAAGGTTTAAACATCCATTAATACATACATACACTCCTCATTAAATAGTAAACAGTATTCCCTTAGTTTATGATTTATTTGCTATTATGCTGTAAAACATAATGTTGTTTGTAAATCTGAACATGTCATTTTTAAAAGAATATAATTTTGAATGTAGATGTAGCATTTTTACAATATACCTTGTATCACAGAGTAAAATGGCACCAAAATCTTGTCTGTGTCGGATAACTCTTCCAATAGCCTGATTTACTGCTCTTGAGGCTTGCTGTCTGTACCATTCTTTACCTGTTAAATGCTGTAATTTGATACTAATCAAGATGTACTGTCAGCTATTGCTTTACCATAAGTATTTGGTTAACAGAAAATTGACATCAAACAGTATAGCTTGCTCAAATGAAACTCAATGCCAAAATTTAACTTATAATAAGAATATTTTTGATTTTTCAAATGAACTGATAAGGAGGAACCAATCTTTCCTTCATTAACAAATTTATGAAAGAGACTAAAATATCTGTAACACTCCAAAACGTGTCTATTTCTCCCAAACATGTCCTTAAAATCTCAAATCACCCAAACATGTCTGATTTCACAACCCCCAAACAGTTCTAATATTGTCCACTTTAAAAACGCCAGAACGTCTCAAATGGCCAAGACATGGTACACTATCTACCGTGTAAGATGAAATCCCTGACTTCTGCATTCAACAGACACCAGATAAGAAAAAGAATGGCACAATAAATATTTATTTTTTACTTGCAGTGATTTTATTTATTTTTTATCAATATGATTAATATTGTTTTAAATCTAAAATGGAGGTACATCACACTTAAGAAATCAAAAATATTTTCCCAGTGCTTCAACTATTGATTAAATGGTAATTCATAAGAATAAGTTTGTTCAACGCCAGTTGTTAATATTTAGCATGATTGCAAGTTTATTTGCAACACATAAATAAACTCTTGACTGTTGATTGCTTAATGTCCAGTAGCAAATGTCATGCATATCTCGAACAAACATAAAAATTGCAATTAATTAGTTTTGAACAGTTAAATTTGTCCTTTACTAAGTGAATTCTTTTGTACTAATTTACTTCAGTAATGCCTAACTATCTAAATAATATATGAGGGCATCACATAGCCTGCTCTCTACAAAAGTGGTGTCTGGGTTTTTAAAGAGTTACTGTCACAATTTTACAAAAAAAAAACAAAACAAAACTAATGTTCCTGTAATTATATTGATTGGATTTGTATTTAAACAACATATGTGATTACAATAAGCAGTGCTTTGCTTCTGCGCCAATTGGCATTTCATTTGCACCCAAAAAATCTTTTATTTACACCACAAACTATATTTCATTTTCGCCAAAATAATACATTTCATTTGCGCCAAAATAACACATTTCTTTGCACTAATCATGCAGGTAAATAGTATAGATAATAAATCTATTTTAAAAAGATGTATTAAACATAGTTTTGCAAAATATAAAATATTCATCATAAATTGCAGTCATCAATAAACGAAAATGAAAACATTAAACTCTGAATTTGAGTGTTTTTTTTTAAAAGGTGAAAATTGACACAAATGCAACCTTTAATAACAGTGGACAAGTTTGGGTGTTTTTAAATCATGGACACAATTGTGTGTTCATAAGAGGGAGACGTTTTGGCCTCATGATATGGACATGTTTGGGGGATTGGATATGTTTGGGCGTATTTTTTTTTAAAAGTGGACATGATTGGGCGTTCATAAAAAGGACACACAATGACGCTTTTTAGCAACTAGACATGTTTTACAGTTCAGTGAGGTCATATGGACACGTCTGGGGGAATAGACACGTTTCTGATTGTTACATATCTTTTTCAACTGTATACAGTCCTTTATCCCTGATGATTTATGAGAATTTCCAATATAACTTATAGATCTATGGGGCTTAATTGCTGCAAAAATAATCAATCTATGCTGATTTTCAAATTAGTCTGCAATATTGCTAATGATTTCATGAAACTTCAATGAAAAATGTAGGTACTAGAGAACTTATAATGTTAATTATCCATATCATTAATATTTTTTCAAAGGGGCATAAATAAAAAAAAAGACCTTAAGGAAAATATTTTGATACCTTTATATTAGGTCTTCTTTTAACTTCATCTAAATACTGCATTTTAAGAACTACTCTTGGATCCATATATGGTGGATATGGGAGACCAGTTATCACAACAGCTCTACCATTTTCATCAGCAAAGTCTAATCCTTCACTAACCTTATAAGTAAAAATTAACCTGGTAGAAATTTTCTCAATCAAGTCATAAATAACTAAATCCTCTTCTGAGCAAAACTGAAAATGTTCATAGAATAATACATTTTGTAACATTTTCTTGATTCAAAATCCTATAACAGTTTGTTAAATTTTTAAATTTTTAACTGATTGAAAGGTCAAATAACAAGAACATTTGTTTAGTAACTTCAAACTTGAATTGTGTGAATATTTGAAAATCTTATTCATAGCATGTAACTTTATTATGACATCTTACCTTTCCTCTGCATACTGCAACAAATATGGCTCCATTTAATGATGGGTCATTTATTTTATCATAAAATTCAAACATAGCCTACAACAGAAATGACAACCAATGTTATAATTTTAGTTAATGCCATGCTGTAATAAAAGTAACAAGAATGTGTCCATAGTACATGGATGCCCCATTCGCACTATCATTTTCTATGTTCAGTGGACCGTGAAATTGGGGTCAAAACTCTAATTTGGCATTAAAATTAGAAAGATCATATCATAGGGAACATGTGTACAAAGTCTAAAGTTGATTGGACCTCAATTTCATCAAAAACTTTCTTGACCAAATACTTTAACCTGAAGCAGGACAGACGGACTGACAAACTGACGAACGAACGAACAAATGGATGCACAGACCGAAAAACATAATGCCCCTAGGTGGGGCATAAAAACAAGAGTTATTTTTTGCAAGATAATGAAAGTACATGAATATAGAAAATCTGATATAGTGCTATCTATGATAAATAGTTAGTTAATAAATAAATCTCTCCTTCTCCTTCAACCTTACCTTTATGATAATTCATAGGTCTTTATGGATTTTTGTTAGTTGGGGGTTTAAATCTGCTGTATGGATCTGACAACCTTTTAAGGGAATGGAGCCAAAGTCCAGTAGTCAAAGAAAAACCATCTTTGATGTTAACTTTGGAGTTGATTATCAGTTGGAGAGTTTAGATGATGAAAAAGAATGATACTGATTATATTGTGTATGAAACTTTTCTGGTGCCTGATAAAATGTAAATATAAATGGAGGTTACATACAGTTCTTACTGTAAAATCATATTTCTTCACATCTTATTAAAACTTACATCTTGGAAGTCCATTTTCCCTCTAGGTTCTACAAATATAGGCTTATATTGAGCTATTCTGTTGTATATGTTGTTCTCCTAAAATAAAAAAATAAACTTTTATTGCAAGAACTTAAGAAAAGCAACATTAAATGGGCCATGTCATAGATTTTATCATTTGTATCTTACGATTTGTTCCAACGAACATAGACTTTGATTAAGTATTAATTACCATTTGTTATCTTTACATCATTCTCTAATATTTGTTATGCCTTTTTTAAAATGGAGTTAATATCCCTTACTGATAAAGAAGAGTAATAAATATAGAATAAAGGATATTTAGTTTTTAATGTTTACTTTATCACAGTGAATACCACGAGAATCTGAAGGATAAGCCTGATACTTCACCATGATAAAGTTAGTATCAAAAGCATAAAGTCCTTTATTTACAGTGATTTGATTTTAAGTGTTGCTGTCCATCCATTGCAGTTCATTGAAAATTCTGACCAAATTGCATTTTGTTTTATCAAATCAATCTGTTCAACAGAAATTTTAACTAACTGCTGAAGAAGAACCACAGTCAGGTCATCAAAGTTCTTTTTCAGCTTTTAAATGAAAATCAGCCTGGGATAGTTCCAGTTAAAGGTACAGAAATTTTATTTAAACAATGACAAATATTTCATGGAGAAAATCACTTGTGCATTATTGCAGAATTAAAGCATGTGCAATTTTTGTAAATGAAATGAAAAGTAAATCCATGTGTGATGCACTCTCATATGCAAGATAGTCAACTTATTCAATAATTTTCATATCATGACCAGTCTAATGATAATGACAATATCATCCAGTTCAAATCAAAGGGCAATAGAGGTCAACAGTAGTATCATCTGCATATAAATAGTATGTAGTAACAAGAGGCTCTCAAGAGCCTGAATCGCTCACCTGTATTTCAGAGGAGAAGATTTTAAAATGTTAGCAAACTTGAACAAATTGTGTAAAATTGTCTTTAAAGGGCAATAACTCCTTAAGGGGTCAATTGACAATTTTTGTCATATTAACTTTTTTGTAGATCTTACTTTGCTGACCATTATTGCTGCTTACAGTTTATATATATATCTATAATAATATTCAAAATAATAACAAAAAACTGCAAAATTTTGTTAAAACTACCAATTCGGTGGCAGCAACCCAACAATGGGTTGTTTGATTCATCTGAAAATTTCAGGGCCGATAGATCTTGACCAATTAAACAATTTTACCCCATGTCACATTTGCTCTAAAAGATTTAGTTTTTGAGATATAAGCCAAAAACTGCATTTGACCCTTATGTTCTATTTTTAGCCATGGCGGCCATGTTTGTCGTAGGATCAAAACTTCGGATACAATTTATAAACTAGATACCCTAAGGAACATTAAGTTAAAGTTTGAAGGTATTTGGCCCAGTAGTTTCAGAGGAGAAGATTTTTTAAAAAGTTTACGACGACAGACGACGATGGACGCCAAGTGATGGCATAAGCTCACATGGGGCCCGAAGGGCCCCGGTGAGCTAATAATGATTAATCAAATCATCAATTTTCACCCTTTTGAAGAACTTTCTGCTAATTTTTGTGTGTGATCTTATGGGTGGAAAGGGGTTGCATTGGAAATAAGAAGATAAAGTAGGAATATATTTAACAAAACATCTGGCATGATTTTGGATTTCTTTGATAAAAGTTACATTTTTCAAACATGAAACAAGTATGTCAGAAAGAAAAAAAAATTCATACAAAAAAAATAAAATATACTGAATTCACAAAAATTTGAACATGTAATTGTATATGCATATCCCTTCAAATAAAAAAAATTCAACAAGGATATCATATCTGACATCCTAGCATGAAAAATATGTCACATATATACTTTTGGGGATGACAATCAATGTGGGGTTTCTATTGTTGATTAAATAATTACATGTACATAGATATACAAATACTATCATATGGGACACTTTTACATAATATTTCTGAACATATTAACAATTGACAAGAAAATGCATAACTAACATACCTTCCAATATTCTATACATTTATCCATTACTGGGTAAGAAGGAAAAAATATAAGTAATCCATTTGGAACTATTCTAGCAAAATTCACTAAAAAAGATTAGAAATCTTGTGTTATAGAAAGCAAACATAACATATCTAATTCAATTAAAAAGTACAACAGGAAACATGTTAGTCTGGTAGATAGTTGTCTCATTGGCAATCATACCACATCTCCTTATCGTTATAATGTGGCCTAACACCTTATGAATAATAAAAATCAAAGCAATATGTGCAAAAATCCTGAAGAATAAATAGCCCAAAATCTTTACTTGTAAAATTGAGTAATCAAAGTCTTTCTAAAGATATCAGTTTAGACTAAGGATTTTCAGCAGAATCGGGAATTCTGCTTGAAAATGTTAAGTAAAAAATGTTTTCTGTTTAAAGCAAGGTAGCCTTATGCAATCCATCGAATTAGTCATTTAATAAAATTCTGGGGTCTTTTATGACCCAGCAGATGATTGAAAAAAAAAACATTTGAGAGGACATATTCTTTAGTGTAACCTGCAAAAAATAGCTGACAAGTACGAAAAATAGAAAACATTGGTGTTTTTGTTGGTTAGTTCTTACATTGTGGTATATTTAATGATAAAAACAATTCATACTCAGTACAAAATTATTCAGTCATAATATTTGTTTTTATGACACAATGACACTGCATCAGAAGACAATCAAAGACTTTGTCTGATACAGTATGAAATTCAGGTGTATATGATCTAAATAACCAATAGAATCTTGTTTTCAAAACCAACTTAACAAATCAACCTTTTAAAATGTAACTTACCTATTGAATTTCCCAATGATGATTGGTAACTTGGTGTGTACCTAAATAATGAAAGGAAAAGCAGAAACTATCAAATAGAACAAACTCTTTTGGAAAGGGGACAGACTAAAGGGTGTTTGAAATAGTGTGTATAAAGGAAAAAGGTTGCAGAATACATTTAGCATGCAAAACATTAAAGAACCTTAGTGAGCGCACTCACATACCCCACGTCCCCACATTGTCATTGGAGAAATAAAATAAGTGTAAGAAAAAAAAATTGTATCAGAAAAAAAAAATTGAATCATAATTTCCTGTCAATATGCACATCTACATAGTATGTCCTTATTATCTACACAGTTTCATGAAATTCTGTTGTGTGGTTTGAGAGGAGTTGCAATACAAAAAGTTGCAGTAGTATATTGGGCAAATAAGTTCAAAGGGGCATAACTCCTGGAAAAATTGAATCGTAATTTCCTGTCAATATGCACATCTACGTAGTATGTCCTTATTATCTGAAAAGGTTTCATGAAATTCTGTTGTGTGGTTTGAGAGGAGTTGCGATGACAAAAGGTTGCAGTAGTACATTAAAGTAAATAAGTTCAAAGGGGCGTAACTCCTAGAAAAAGAATTGAATCTTAATTTCCTGTCGATATGCACAACTACATAGTATGTCCTTATTATCTAAAAAGGTTTCGTGAAATTCTGTTGTGTGGTTTGAGAAAAGTTGCGATGACAAGAAATAGGACTGACGGGTCAAAAACATTATACCCTCTGCAACTCGTTGCGTGGGGTATAATTAAAAGAAATTATACAGAACATCTCAGTAAGCAATATATTAATTAAACCTGAAAAATCAAAAGATTGCTTATCATCAAATCAAACCGTGATTAAACATATTGTCTGTGGCTGTCTAGAAATTGAGAACACAAATATTTATGATGTATTCATCCATAAAAAAAAGTACATTGTAATATAAAATAAATTTTCATGGACTGAAATTCCATCAAAGGTAGGTTAAACAGAATAAAACCAGAATAACAAACACAGAGCAACACATGAATAAATGAGTTCTCTGGAAAATTGGTTTGATAAGCACAGTCAAACTAGATATGAGATTATCTTTTGTTTGACAGCAACATAGAAATAATTTTAAATAGATCTATTAAATAAAAACAACTGGGTGTTGTACAAAATAAACATACTCTAATTTTGGACATATATTATTCCACCCACCTTGTTTCAAAGTTGGAATTAAGAGTTACACCATCTGGTCCTTTATTCACAGTTCCTATCCAAACCTGGTGTTTTTCTATCACATGTGGGTTTTCTAATGTCACTGGAAATGGTCTAAAATGAAAGGATATATTAATACTAAAATATTTTACAGAAGCATCATGGGTGTATAAGCTTAGTTGTGATCTTTTTGGATTTGTAGTAGAGAAAAAAGTTTGTACACTGTACAGTATCCTGTAAATTTATGAAATGATTGAAAAAAATCTGTCTGAATGTCAGTCTATTACTTACTGATGTAACCTTGACATCTGAAAAAGTAACCTTAAAATCAATAGGTGTCTTTAACACCTAAGGGCACATTATTCACCAGAGATATGTGAAGATATGATTTATGGCTAAAAAGATATTGTAACAAAACAATTATTTTCCCTAAATTTCAGTCTAATTATATGAATTGTGATCCTTAACTTTGACTCATTGACCAAAAAATCAATAGTAGTCTTTTTCAATACACCTTATCGCTATTTGTCCGCCATTACTGATCATCAGAAAAGTTTCCATAAAATTTTGACTTCATAATAGAAAATATCTGACGCCACAATGAAAAAGAGATTATTGTATGACGTCAATAGTTCAAGCAGTGCAGATTCTCAGGTCAAGCGGCGCAGATTTCCAAAAAGCAATAAGGTTTTATCAAAGGGGCATCTACAGATAAATTTGATGAAGGTTGGACATATAATTCAAAAGATATCTAGAAACAAAAATTGTTGCCCCAATTTCAGTCTATCAATTGCTCGTGTGAACTTTGACCTTAGAATCTCAAAATCAATAGGGCCATTTTACATCCCATGAGGTATTATCAAATTTTGGTAATGGTTGGAAATATGGTTATAAAGATAATCTCTGTAACCAAATTTTGCCCTAATTATAGTCTATCAATAGTGCCGACACTGACCTTTGACCTATTGACCCTAACATCGAAAAGGATCTTTTTCATCTCATGGGACATTATCAAACAAGTCTGGTAAAAGTTTGATACATGGTACAAAAGAGAATAATCAGATATAAAAATTTTGTCGAAAATTTCTGTTTATATATAGCTACTGTGACCTTGACATTTGACCTGTTGAAAACTAAAGCAATTGAGGTCTTCCTCACACCATGATAATTTCAAACCAGGTTTGGTTAATATATTTTTTTGGCTCAAAATATTTTGTCCATCTGCTAGGACAGCTGGATGCAATTCATCCTAGTATAAGCTGATTTTGATTTGATTTCAACTAGGCTAAAAGTAATAAGCTTCTCAGACCAATTTTAGAAATTTTTTGATGAGACAAGGAGGCATCTTTTTTTCCTACATGGCATGAAATAAACATCACATATCATGAAGTTATTACCTTTTTCAATACTCTGCTTAATAAAATTGGATATTGAAAAATTATGTGATCTGTTTTAATTCTTCGAACACTTGCAACCCCTGCTATTTTTAAAATCATATATATATTTATAAAGTCAGATTGATTTAGGTGAACTATTTATAAAAACAATTCTTACATTTGCATCTCAAGAGTAAAAGATGACAGTGGAGACAAAGTTCCACTGGTTAATATAATACATTTAATGCCATGCGCCATCAAGTCTACCATGCTGTGTCCAGGACTAAAACACCAATAGCTTAAAGTTTTCCCTGTATATAAAAGTATGCAAAATATTAAACAGAAAAATGCAAGTAGGTAAGTAAATTTGATAAATCCAAAACTTTCCTTGCCTTTTTCCACTCATGAAAATGAAAACTGATCATATTATAATCTTTGAAGTTTCATATAACTAGAGCTGAAAGCAATTTAAATCTTTTGCTAGGTGACGACAATCAAATTCAAAAAAATTCTAAACTATAGACTTTATCATTCTGTTTCAAGAAACAAAAATTGGAGTAAAGGTTAGTGTTGCAAAAATAACTGGTAAAAGAACATTGAATTAAAACTATCAATCATATTTAAATTTGCAATTTATTAAAGATGTGACATGATTTGGTTTGAGAAATCCAAGACTTTACCATAAAAATTAAGGTCTTTACCTGTTTTATCAGATGTACTGCTATTACTAGCCCAACTTGTTATCTTTCCAAATTTTTTATTAGGCTCAGTCTTCTGAATGTGGACCTATTGATAAAGCAAAAATATTTATATAATTACTGAAATAAATTTTAGAAAATTCTAGCGTTCTTAGACAAACTATGCATTCAATAATATTGAACTAATTTATGCTTTTCCCTGATGTTTTAGCCTTATTACTTTTCTATGCATTAAACTTTCATTTGTTCATAAATCATACAGCAATACAAAAAGTGCCCTAAAATACTTGTAGATTATCAATGAAAATACTACTTGATATGACAAGATTAGATAACATAGCAGTTAAATAATCTTGCTCTTTCAAAAACCATAATCTATACGTAAAATGTCAGATATGTCTCTTATTGTGTATCTACAACATAACGTAAATAAATGAGAGTGACTTTCTAATGGAAGGATGTTATGATAAAACACGTGAACTATGAAATATAGATCATACAATCTTCTTCCTATGGCACATGGTCAAACTCTCAATAATATTGTTATAGAATACCTTATATGATTTAGCTAATTCAGCCATATGTAACTGCATGCTCCCTCCATCTGATAAATCTCGACAAAATATTATCTGAAATAAAATCAAACATACATAGTACAATCATAATGTTCATTATAAATATGCATTAAAATAAAGACCAAATATGTTTGTATTCTCTGTTTCTATTGGCGTAAACAGATACGGCAGCATGATAACAGCAAAAAGAACTTTCATGTCAGCAATTCTTTCTTCTAAATATTTTTTGGCAAATTCTGGTTGTTATTTTGAATGTGGCCAATTTGAATAAAAAATGTTTTGATAGACATATTGTCCACCAAAAGAAATCTTGTAAATCATCTGTATAATTACTGTTGAGTAAAGACAAAGGTATAATTATAGACTTACCTTGAGTATATCACAGACTTTTGTAAGACCAGCTCCCTTTGTACTGAATCCAGTCAGTGCTTAAAATGAAAAAAAAAATTGCCTTAAATGGTATAAAAGGATGTTTGAAATAAAAAAGAAATACAATTCACCAGTGCACTATCTTTTCAATGTCAAACAAACACAAGATAAAAACAAAAACAAAAACAAAAACAGCTGTTATTAAATATGAGGGGATGAACAGGGGGCCCCTGATTCCCACTTCCCAACCCCTGAACTCCCACTCCCATCCCCATTACTATCAAACGAAAATTGTTCAAAAATATTTTCCAACAATATTCATTATTTTTACTCGTTCTCGACCCCCTGATTACCACTTCCCTTCCCCCTGACTTCTGCTTCTCTGTCTCTCATTCCCATGTTCCCTTACCCCTGTCCATATTGTGTCTACACTAGGGCTTCCAAAAAACAAAATTTAAGCCAGCTGGACATTTTTTTAATTCCGTTTATTATTTCTTTAAGACTTTGTAACTGAAGGCAATCAATGTAATCATTGGTGAATCAAGGATATTCAGACAATAAAAAAACAAGAAAATGATTACTTCATACCATGGATGTGAATTCTGTGAACTAAAAAATAAAATCCATGTATTTTTGTCAAGTATCATCAAGTTTAAGTCTATCTCTCCACGTTATAAGTGACATGGTAAAATTTATTTTATTTTTAGACATCATAAGTAGAAAATATGACAATTGATACAACTTGTAACAAAATACAAAATTGAATTCAGAGCTTACAATCTCTTTATTAATTGACAAAATACCCTCCGAATCATGTTTTGAAATAACATTTCGGACATTTTGTTCATTTGCAGTTCATTTACATTATATCTATTTCAAAATCATAATCAACACAATTTAACACTATGGTCAACTTAATTATCATCTTAATAAATAATTTTCCTTATACATACCATCTTGAGAAACATAATTTATTATCTTGTCCAGCAATTCAATTAAAAAGTTCTTAGTATCAAAGCCAATAGACACACTTCTCAAAAGTTCAAAAATAAACCTGTGAAAAAAAACCAACAACATGTAAAGATACTGAATCTGGACATCAAAGGCACAAGGTTCAGTTCCTCGTCGTTATTTCTTGCAATAACTGTAAACTGTAGGCTGAGCAATCGCAAGCAAAATAAAATGACAATTTATCACATATAAGATTTCACTGAAACCGAATCATTATCAACAAGAATATTTGTGTATAATAGGTGTTATGCCCTGCAAAATAACATATTATAAAAGGCTAGTTATACCATCATAAATAAATCTCTCTGTTTCTTCAATTACATTTACAGCACCATCAATTCAAAAAAGTTCATTTGTTTGACATTAATTTGATATTGTTGTTAACTTCGTACATTCTTTGATAGACTTTCACATTAGTATCACTTTTACTTCACATCAAACTATCTTGAAGTTTTACATTCAATGATAATATAATCGTTAAAGGATAGTTTTCATTTTGTGTTTTACAGTTTTAGTCATAACTACAGAATTAACTTGTTCCATGTTTATGGATAGAAAAGTCACATATAACAATAGTTCACCATTTAGAAAGACAAAATGAAGAGAACTCACATGCCAGGTTTCGTGACTCCTTTACCATTACTGGGAACTGGAATTTCATCTATTTTATTTTCTAAATCTTTCAATGTGGCTAAAATAAAACAAACAAACTGAATATACTATTTTATACTTTACAAAAAATCCCTACTTTCCCTCGACCTATAGTACATCTTTAAAAAATTTGACAAAATTGCAATTTGTCAGAAATTATACCAAATTGAAGTGAAGTCAAATCTAATAGGATTTAAGTATGCCTTCCTTTTACTCATGTACTACTAACATTGATGATTTGACTGTGGCTCTCCTAAATCAGTCTGGTAAAATTACAGATCTGTTGTAGTTTGATTTAAACTGTAAAGTTGCAAGAATATTGATTAAACATTGTATGATTTTGGTTGTAACTCATAAATTTGTGTAGTGAATGATCATTTGTGTCTGGTCAGTGTTTATACATGTCAATGTATTATCCATTTCACATATTGCTTTAGAAGAAATGTGAGCTTCATATCCTTTCATATAACTATTCCTTTTAATAATATAAAAAAATATATTTGCATATTTGCTACTAAATCTCAGTCATCTATTTGTATTTCTAACTAATTCTATCATGACTGCCATGTCAATTTCTTTAATTCATTAACAATGTGTTTTTTTATGATTTAAAATGTTTTAACTACCTTTTAACCGCAGAAGATCTTCTAGAGTAAATTCTGGTTCTGCAATAAATGACAAAAAGTATGAAATAACATGTTAAATTGACAATTTAACCTCAGAAGACCACTTTACTGTGTACAAAGAGGTAGGGATGAGTCTCCTGAATAGGTCACTATTTTAAGCTTCATAATATATGATAAGGTCCAGAGATTTATATTACATATATGATAGGTTGCTAATTGAATCATAAGTATCTTTAACTACTGAATCAGATGTTAGTACTTAATAAAGATGTGATTTAAAAAAAAAAACAGTCGAGAATGCTTCAGATATTTGTCTCAAATCTATTTTTAACCCAAGGAAAAGTGTAATGTAGGTCTATTTTGGTAAACAATATATGATAAGGTATGTATTTTTAAGTATTCAAAATATATGAAAAGGCTGGGGAACTGAATGTCTCAGTTGCTCATTCCTACCACTAAGGATTGTTGTTCAGTCACAAGCTGGAATATTTTTTGATATTTGATTTCTTGGATTACTTTGAATTTTAAACGGAAATAAAGTAGAAAATGAAAGGAATTTAATTTTACTACACACTCTCAATTCTCAATTTCTACATTATTGGCAGCATCTTGTAAACACAAATTGATGTATGGTGACAGAGAAATGAAATTATCAGATTAATATAATTACAATTTGTATTTCACTGGGAAATCACATTATCTATCACTACAACCAATGTAATAAAAGAAAATATTCAGTAACCATGTTGGTTACACAGCATTTGACATTCATTTCACTCCCTAAATGAATAATTTATCTGGTTTATATTTTTAATGTATGCTTTTTATTCCCAAATACAAAAATATATCATGATAAATTTCTGACCTAGGTTAGAAAAGCCATGCATTATATCTTTCAACAACCAGTCATAGAAGTTTATTAAGGTTTTTGAAGTATTTTCAGTAAGAGAGAAGTTCAGAAGATATAGCATTATATTAAATTGGTTTTTTCCCCATAAGCACTTTACAAGTTTTAAAAGAAAATCCCTTACCAGGCATAGTTGAGGAATCTGTCATTTCTACCAAACTTTGATCTTCATGTTTTGTCAATTCATATATTTTTTCTGAGAGCTTTGCAAGTTCTTCAATGGCTGTTGCTAAATCAGTGGAGGTTAAATCAAAGGAAGAACTATCCTCACAAATCTTTTCCTGAAAGGGAATTTGTAGTTCTTATCAATTTCTGTGTTAAAATATTACAGTGTGAACTGCCATATGAAATGGTAAAAAATATTTTGACACTTATTTGTTTAAATTAATTAATTCATTTCAAATAAACGTTTTGAATAAAAATCAAAATCACTTGATATTACTGCTTTATTTATATATATACTGGATATTAATATAAGTCATGCAAAATTGTGTGACATCTGTTCCAAATTTTTGTTAAAATACTAAGCGTTATCTAGAGATATAATGTACAGAATCCACCAATCTGAATAAAGACAATTTCTCCAAAAAGTGTTAATCACAAACCAAACCCTCTTATAACTTTATAATCATTTTTTAAGATCTGACATAGTCCAATTAAACAGATATATTTTCACCTTACCAAATTATGAGCTTCATCAAAGATGACAATATTGCCTTGAAGTTCAACACCGTGAGCTTTCCTTGACTGAAAAAGTGAGTATAACAGCTAAAAATTCTTGAGCAGAATTTCTCTCATCAAAGAGTACTGGTACACATAGGCATATTATGCTAAATAATGTCTGTTCATTAAACCCTGTTTCATAAATTAATATGATAGTTATATACATGTTTTGAAAACATTATACAGGGAAAAGTAATTATCATGTGAATAGAGAGAAAACTGAATGACAGAATTTTGAAAGAAATATGAGAAGATAGCTCTTATAAAATAAAACAATAAATGGAGTCACTGTACAATTTTAAGCTATAATACAAAATAGAAAAATTTACTATAAATTCCTTTTTAAAGTAAAATTATCTGAGTTATCTCCCCTTATAAAGCAAAACTTGTTTTTCTTTTTTTTAATCAATCAATCAAATAATATTCTGTATTTGTAAAAACAGTAGTAATAAAAATATTAAATCACATAACTTTCTTCATTTACATAAAATAGTCTTACAAATGAATTGTATTCCTGCTTCAAAATTTGCCTATTTCAATAATAAACTGTTAACACTGAGTTTTGCTCGCCTATTTGTTATTTTGATAATGCAAATGTTGAAATTAAAATAACAATACTTTAACATGTAAGTTATGCAAATATTCAAAGTCAATGAACCATGACTAAAGGTACAGGGCTAAACAATCTCCATGGAAATGAGATGTGCCAATGCTAATACAACTGCATACCAAATACCATTGACTTTTCATAAGTCGTACCCTTTACAGAAACCTAAACACAAACATTAACTTGTAAACTAAGCAAAAGTTTCAAAGTCAATAGACCATGACTGAAGGGGCGGGGCCAAGTAATCTTCATGGAAATGAGATATGCCAATGCTTATACAACTGCATACCAAATATCATTGACCTACCACTAGTGGTTCCCCATAAACTGACCTCATCACAAACTAATACATGAAAACTAAGCAAAGTTTCAAAGTCAATAAACCATGACTGAGGGGGTGGGGCCAAATAATCTCCATGGTAATGATATGTGCCAATGCTAATTCAACTGCATACCAAATATCATTAACCTACCACTAGTGGTTCACCATAAACTAGACCTAATTACAAACTAAAACATTGTTGACGATGCCGCCGCCGCTGACGCCGGAAACAGCATACCTATGTCTCGTTTTGACTCTGTCAAGGCGAGACAAAAATTAAGGCAGATTTGTTTTCTGCTATTTTACCATTCACGTTGGTGAAAGACCAACATACATAAAACACCAACTACATTATTGCATGATTCTTTAAATATTTTCACATGAACACAGAACTTACTTTTGGATCCAGTAAATAATTGTATGGCATAAATATAATATCTGCATCATTCTTTAACTCTCTAGCCAAGTAGTATGGACATACTCTACAAGTAGAATGTATAAAAGGTGGTTTACACTAAGCTGGGAACAGTATATCTAACGGGAAATGAATCTGATACGCTTTTCAGTATAAAATTGATAAAATCTCGGACTCCCCGAGACTTCCCAAGATTTACGGATTTTGGTAGCGTCTGACTGAAAAACTATCAGAACTGCTCAACAAATAAACCACATAACTCTAATTGTAAATAAATACAAGTTTTATCATTTGGTAGATATATTTTGTCATATAAAATTACCAAAATAAGTTTGATTTATTTGATGTGAAGTGTTTTATAATAGTTTGGGAATTTGTAAATCATCGCGACAATGGCCGCCATTTTTTTATTACCTGGTTTGCATTCTGCACAATTCTGTGATGAAATGCTTGCGATTTTAACAAATTTGAAGTGACAGAATACAAGTTTGATACACTAGCATCACTATAAAACTAGTTTGAATGACATTTTATTGATAATATCAGAAATTATTAGGATAATAGCGAGTCCGTTTTTAACACATGTCCGTTTCTGTATCGTATCTTTATTAACTATGGCACGACGATAAAATCGACTACAATCAGGTAGTGTCAAGTCCCGTCAATATATATGTTCCTGCACTAAGTGACAATTTAATTACCGTAGATACTCGCCTAATAGTCGATCCTACTATAAGTCAGGGTCCCTTTTCAGCTCCAAATTCTAAGGATTTAGTCTTGACCCTCGTATAAGTCGGACAAAATTTGGGCATTTTTTTTTTTCAGCTGACAGTAACTGAACGCCGGTAAAACCAATGCAAATCCAGGAATAATATTCATTTCTGCATTAATGTTTGTTTGGTTTGAATTTAGTTGATGCTCATCATGATAATTTATATTGCTGTTAATAATAAAGATGTATTCATTTCTCTTGTTTTGTTCGCTGTTCAAATGTCAGATTAGCCATGTGTTGTTTACGTAATGCATCAATGATTTTGTAGGGTATGACTAACAACCTATTGTTTGAGAAAAGCGAATATAAACCAATATGAACCTGAAAAATTTAAAGTCAATCAACACTTGATGAAAATATTTTTCACAGCATACATAACTCGGTGTTAAATGAGCATGAACACTTCATAATTCTTATTATATTGTGATGATTAAAGGATTAAAAAAATTAAGTGAAGCTAATCAATATATTAAAATAACTAACTCCAACTCATTAGTGTCATCTGTTTACCTATCACTGATAGTTTTCACACCTTTAGTGAATACAACTCTTTGTCTCTTAATGGGGTTATCAATGGATTATATTGGCTTGTCAATCAATTTTGTAATTTTTGTTTACCTGAGACACTATAATGAATAATATTTTGATTTTGGGAATGAATCTTAAAATTATTTTTTGATTATTATATGATTTATAAGCATTGAATTGATATCATGATATCACAATAATGACACAATAACTCCGCTGAAAACATCCTTTCACATATTTGGTACATTGTTATCTCCTTTTCATTTTTGGTTCTTGGCTCTTCTTTTGGGTTTATAGGAAAACCATGTGACCATGAAAATCAATACACAAACCAGAAACAGTAGAATTTCAACACGAATTTGCAGAAAATGTTTACCAAAGAACAAATAAAACACAAAGACAGTATTGAAGTCATTTATTTTCAACAAAAACTTTTTATTTATTGATTTATGTAGGTTTGGCAATCAAAAACGTAGTTTTGACCAGGAAATTCACTCCTGACCACTTTTCTCAAGCTTGGATTTTTCCTCTGGTCGCTAGATCTCGTCTATTAGTCGGCCCCCCTCTCTGGATTATGAATTTTACTCCCAATTTTCCGACTAATAAGCGAGTAGGAACGGTAATTAAAAGATATGACAGAACATCAACAAAAACAAAATTCTACCTTAACCAAACATGATTTGTTAAACTGTTGATTATACCATTGCTGCTCGTTTACTTGAAAGAGAAAATGTAATCATTTAGTACTAATATTTGAAATTTTGTATGAAAAAAGAGAACATGCCTTTACCAGATCAAATCTTTTATTCTGAATAAAAGAAAATTAATTGTGTATGGATATAATAACAGAAGTTATGACTTACTATGAACAAAAGCTGAAAATAGGGATCTTGAAATACTATGAAACACGCATTCTTCATACAGAAGATGAATTTATCCTACAAATCAAGACAGCAAATACATACAAGACTCCCTTTTAAGACCATAATGTCCCTAGAAATCAAGTAGTCATAACTGTTACACTTTTAATTCTAGTGTATCATCAAGGATGTATATATTAGGGTAAAAAAAATAAATATACATATATATATCATTATTAACAAAATAAATGGAATTCTCACCTCTGTTTTTCACCATAAGTAACCATATCCTCTATGTCAATAACGTTTCCTATCAATGAACGTGCATCACTGTTTTTCTTTATATCTGGAAAAATATTTCAAAAGATAAATTAGTGCATTTCAAACCCTTTGAAGATATGTATAGAGATGAATATGAAGATCATTATTAAAAGCTTAAATATTCCTCAATGTTTGAAATCTCTGTATAATCTAACTCAAACTTAAAAATTTCACTTGATGCTGGAAATAAATAAATGTCATGTTTTTAAGATTTTTACTTAAGTTTAGAAATGTAATATAAAACCACTGTTCATCAAGCATGGTGTTCTTTAATAATATTTTTTTGGTAAACTGTACTTTTTAGTGAGAGAAAGATCATGTTGGGTCGTGAAATTAACAAATTTGAAGACTGGATTGTATTTCTGCTCTTCATCTGGTATATTTAATTATATAAGTAATGAACTATGTTTGAGTGTCCCATAATCAAAGTTTTATGAAAGTTGCCATTCCATGGTTAAAGCTATAACTTGAAAAGTCTAAATAAACAGGACTGAAAATAAGGCTGTCAATTCAGCAGCAAACATTGTGTACTTCGAAAAAAACACATCACTGAACATTTGATCAAATCACAAACATACCTTCCAATCTGTTATACATGTGACATGTCCTAGCACTGACTTTTGCTCTACACATGTGAACCTGGAAGCAATAACATCAGTAACAATAATTCACAAATATGTGCTTTCTTGTACATGTGTATCAGCCATTGAGTATTACATAACATAAAACCATTTTGAAGTTATCATAAAACCAGCATTTATTGAACATGATTAATCTATCTCTTATGAAAATTTGAGGATAATAAGTTATTCAAGTGCAACTAAGTAGAACTGTTTTGGTGGACTAAAACTTATGTCTCCCCTTAATAGCTAGATGGATGGATGGATGGCTATTTAATGTCCAGTGGCAAATAAAGTGAATATTCAGAATGAGAATGTTAATGAGATATGAATATGAACACTGCTTTGTTATGACTAACAGTCCACAGAAAGACATCCTACATGCCAATTTTAATTCAAATATTATTTTTTTCATGAACTACCATTGCCCCCATTATCTTTTGGTTCTGCATAAAGAAGGACAACAAATCCTCATTGATATACAAATTCTAGATGTCTTTTTGGTTGTTGTTGGTTTGCTGTCTCATTGATAAATGATTTTCTTCCCTATTAATATTTTCTCTCTCATGTACATGCATTGACTGTTCATTATTCTATAACACTGATTCTATCTATCATTTTATTGCCATCATAACCATTGATTGGCATGGGTCAATGATTGGTAATAAAGAATTTCTATTCCTTTACCAACATCTCCTTTTATTCAAACATAATAAGGTTCTTAGGGAATCAAAATATGCCTCTTTTATCACTCAAAAAAAAAGAACTGTTACTTCATAATCTGAAGGCATTTGTAAATTTGCAAAGTAGCTTCAGTCAAATAAGAAAAAACAAATGTAAAAAGTTTTAAGATTGATAGACTGGCAACTGATTCAGACTGATGACTACTGTATATATGGCCACTTATCTTTGGGCTAAGATCAATTTTTAAAAATCTAAGAAATATGAGATATGAAAAAAGAGTTGTAGATTTTCCATGTGGCTTTTATTCAAAAGAATATTTGAAGTGTACAATTAAAATGTTTTTCCAGATAATACCAATAAGCTATTGCACCATTCTCTACATATTTATCAGTATGTAATGGTAGTTGGTAACGCTCAATTTGTAAAACTTGTCTAAGGGTTGCTCCATCAAAACAAATATGGGACCCACAGAAGGCACTTTGAAACCTCCACTATAGATTGGTGTCAAGTACAGTGTAAATATAATTGAAATTCTATATTTGCCTTAATAGGTTTCCCCATTTTGAAAGTATCTCCCCTGTGTACCATGTATGTTTAAATAGAACAGCCTTAAGTTATTTTAATGAACTTTTTGACCTACTTTATTGGAATTATTAGGTTCCTTTCTAACTTGCTCCTGGATACAAAGCTGCTCTCTAGATCCTATTACACTCACTTTAACACTAAAATATAACAGGTCTCACATGTAATTTAATACCTGAATTTTCATTGTTTCAACATCATACTAAAAATTATAAAATATATTCAAAGAAAAATGAACAAGGTAAGGGGTTTAACCACACTTTTCATGACCCACCCAGGGTAACCCCATTAACTTTTTACTCTGAAATAAAATTATCATAAAACATGAATTCTCCTGAAAATGATCACCATTGCATTAATATAACAAAAACATGTGTCCATAGAACATACATGTACCTAACTCGCACTATCACATTTCCATGTTGAGTAATGTGGGCCAATCCATTTACATGTATTTTGCAGATATTTTCAAAAGTTTACACCATAAATAACATGTGTACTGTGTTTCAAGTTCATGTGTGAACACAACTTCATAGTAACCTACCTTAAACAAAAAGTATAACATGATAAGAGATGGATGGACAAACAGACCATTAAACATAATGCCCATTCTATCTTAGGCAGGACATAAAATTGCATTTATTACTTTAATATTTGAAAGAGATTCACATTTTAACTCTTTTTCTGCATTGAATCATTGTTTTATACTTCTATAATTTCCATTTAAATGTATTGAAACCTTTCATGACCATATTAAACATCTAACATACTATTGAGGTCAAGAGTTGTGTACTAGGTTGTGTAATAAGTGTTTTTTACATGTAAATGATAAGTAAGGTCAAGATGCAGGGTTATATAAACAGAGAACACGCATATATATATATATTTATATAATAATAAACTGTTATCACAGAGATATGTCTGGCCCTTTTGTAATTTTGATTATGCAAATGTTGAAATTTAAATAGCAATACTTTAACATGTTTCATAAGTTATGCAAATATTCAAAGTCAATGAACCATGACTGAGGTACATGGCTAAACAATCTCCATGTAAATGAGATGTGCCAAAGCTAATACAACTGCATACCAAATACCATTGACTTATTATAAGTCGTTTCCTTTAAACAAACCTAAACACAAACACTTACTTGTAAACTATGTAAAAGTTTCAAATTCAATGAACCATGAAGAGGGGGTGGGGCTATATAATCTCCATGGAAACGATACTTGCAAATGCCAATAAATTTGCATACCAAATATCGTTGACTTAACATTAGCAGTTCATCTTAAACTGATCTAATCACAAACTAATACATGTAAACTAAGCAAAAGTTTCTAATTCATGTTACCTAAGTTAAAGTCAATAGACCATGAACAAACATACAGACTTTTCTACCAAGAAATTTGTTTTGCATGCACACGTATAAAAATTGCGGTTTTTATCCAACGCAATCATAGGTTTGAACGTTGTTTTCAATTTAGACTTGTTTATATTTTTTCGTTTGGGCTTGTATTATATTTGCCTTCGGGTTTATATGATCCGTTCATCCTATTTCCACTCTTCAAAATTCAAGTCTATCCTAAATTGAGGTAAATTATATGGCCTTCCAAATACCGTTTCGATTCCTAACATCAATGAAGAGACATTAATTGTCGAAATCCAGATATGGTGTACTAATTTTTGCACCTTTTGTTTGCAGTATACCATCTTTTCCGCAAGTTTATTGTTTTCTGTTTGGTATTAAATTAATAGTTAAGGTTCATTTTGTTACATCTGGTGATCCCTTTATTTGGCAATCGCCAATGGCAGTCAGCAGGGTTTAAGAACATCCGTTGTTTGACCTGCTAGTCAAATGCGTTTTGTTAAAATATACTTTTTCACTTTTTTGGTCTTTTTGAAAATGTTGTTTGTGCTGTATTTAGACCCTTCTACCAAGAAATTTGTTTTGCATGCACAGGTATAAAATTGCGGTTTTTATCCAACGCAATCATAGGTTTGAACGTTGTTTTCAATTTAGACTTGTTTATTTATATATATATATATATATATATATTATCTGTTAATTGATATAGACAATGAGTAATTGCATTATAAATTTACTGAAGCTAGATCAGAGATGTTAGACAATTATGTCAGAAGTATGGTAGTTCGTTCAACAATGCCATGTAAAATAAATTTTCTATTTCTCAGACACCACCATGTCAGCCAAAAACAAGCCGCTGGCTTGCATTCATTGCCAAACCAAAATAAATAAAATCTGTATTGATAAAATTTTACTGCTTTCAAACTAGTCAAAGAAGGTTAATACCTTTACTAATTGTGGTAATAAAGCATGAGTTACCTTCATCGTAGGAACATGAAAATGAAAACGGCTGCAATATATTGAAGGACAAGAACATTGACAAAGCCTAGAACATTATTGCATTCATGACTTCCTGTCCGACCACATAGTATGTCAATCTTTATTGTAATTTATCCATACATTTAATTGATACATATAACAATGACCAAACTAGCAAGCAAATTGACAAAATTTATGACACACATACTTGAATATAAACAGCTCTAAGGATATAACCCAAATGTTTCAGTTCATTTGTGAATATTTACATAGACATGGGAGGTAACTGGTATGTAAGTTTAGTGGTGAACATAGCTGCATCTTAGTTTATTATGTGATGCCTTAGTAAAAATGTGTTCCTTTCTTTCTTAAAACCATATATGTAGTAGATTTAACTTTGCTTTATTCCTACAAACCTGTTGTATGCTGTTCTTTTTAACTCTTGTACAGCTTGATTCAGCTGTGAATGAGTTCTGGATGCATATATTATTTTTGGCACAGCTAAAAGGAAAGAATGGTTACAATTTTATAATAATTTATTCTGTTAGGGAAATTGTACAAATATCTTTCCATTCATTACATAACAAATGTTGTATGAAATTCTTGTTTTGGATCTTTTTGAATACTCAAATGTATTTGTAATTTCATACAGCTACATAATTGTGTTGTTGTTGATGAAAAAAATCTAAAAACATAGACAATCATTGATTACAAAGGTGGCCTTGATTAATCTCAATGTGAAAGGGCTAAATTGAAGATCACAATTAAAGTTACTGTGAGCAAAATGACACCCTCCCCAGCCACCACATAAAGCAATGACAAGGTCTATGATTTGCTTAGTAAAAAATAATTGGAATAAAAGAACAAAATTGGTGATGCACAATGGCATTATATATGTTTAAAATTCTGAGAGAAAGTTTCAATAAATTTGAATAAGGGGTATTTGAAAAGAAGTGGATAAAATGTGGACTGAAGTGTGAAGATATGACAAAGTCAATGTGTCATGCCAAGGTAAACCTCATAAATCATTTAAATGAAAGAATGAAATATGAGATGAAAGATTACATCACGTGAGTAAGATTTTGTTACCATTATATATACATTTAAAAAAAAACAAACTCATGATCAATATCTATAGGCAACACAAAAAAAATCAAGACAACTGTTGAATCTCAGAATGAACAAAGGACAATATGACAATACAAAAGACATAGTAACACTTTGGGGAGGATAGCAATATTTGAGAACTTATCTCAAATGATGATTTCACAGTCATTGAAACATGAAAAGTATGTAGTAGTCGGCATCATAGGAGGATGTTATACCATTGACAATGCTTTATGAAGATCTATCCTTACACATGTTTTAATACTGTAACTCTCTTAGTATTAACAAAATACTGACCCCCTGTATGGAGGGTGGAAATAATACCCCATTTACCGGTAGATGCATCTTATACAAAATTAAATTACTGAAGAGGTGTATCTTAGAAATTATTTAAAATGTTAAACTTCAACTTATTCAATGAAGCATAAATATGAGTTTAAACCACACATTTTTGGTTGGAGACCTTTATACAACTCTAGATACATCTTCAGAAAAGTAGTATTATTGTTTGTAAGTATCTTAACTGTGTGTAATATACATATAGGTCAGCAACTTTTAGTTGAAGGCTATATAATACTACCCTTGATGCGTCCATAGTTAGATGAAGTTCTATGTACTAGTAGGCTGCTATTGATATAAAGCCAGATTTGAGTTAAAGCAGGTGAATATTGGTTATTTGAACTTTATCTTGTGTCATGAAAATCAGTGTCTCCAAAATTCTGTCTTAAATTTGACCTTTCTATCATAAAAATTGTAACCAGTCAAAATTATTAATTACCAAATTCACTTCCTCCCCATGTCAATCCTGTTGAAGATTGTAAACTTTTACTAAGTTTTTCTACATCTTGTTGTATATTCTGTTCTCCCATAATAGAAGCAATAGAGACCTGTCGATTCAGCTCTGTCTGGGCCTTTCTGGACTCCAGCCATGCAAGTGTAGAACAAAGTAAACACAATGTTTTCCCAGTTCCTGTTGGACTTTCCAGGATACCATTAACATTCTGCAAATAATTACATACATAGCAATCCATTTATTTTACATAACAATCATGATAATGTAGATTCAAATAGTTTTTTTCCACATCTTTTTAACTTTCACTGCCTCAATTCCATTTGCTCTTAGTAGTGCATTCTTTTTGTAATTCTATCACATTTAAATTTCACTGCCTAAATTCCATTTGCTCTTAGTAGTACATTCTTTTTGTAATTCTATCACATTTTTAACCTTCTTGTTACTTTTTTAATTGCAGATAATTCATTTTCACAAAAGTGATGCATCTTTAATTATTGTAAAATTTGAAATGTAATGTGCATTACAAAAAGGTTTTGAATAGCTGATTTACAAATCATCAGGAACTGTTTATAATAATAGGGATTGAACCCTTGTATTGACATTTAGACTAAGAACAATCACAAAATAAACTATTGATCAGGAAGGTTTAAATCAGGGCAATCTTTGAGAAATATATATAAAAATAGTTTATATTTAATATATACCTTTTGCAAGGATTCCATTACTTTTTCCATATAGGTAACTTGGCAAGGGTAAGGTTCAAATGGAAAGCTGACCTGTACCCCACTTATATTTAACAATGGCATAGTTCTGCTTACTTTGTACAACTACATTAACATGCTGAAATAACTTTTAGAGAACCTGAAAAACATTCAACAACAATATGTATTTATTGCCAAGAGCAATATGATTTTTCTTGTTTCACTGCACATTTGAGTCACTGTCTCATTGATCTTTACTCTCTATCTCCTTTTAATAGGAGTTCCAGGATAACCTACACTACACATATTTTATCTATCCTAGGGCAATAGCTAAAAAAAAATGTTTGAGGGGCACAACTCTTTCAAAACTAGTTGATTGGCATAGATTTTCTAACTTGTACAAAATAATGCTGATATAATCCTTTGATATATTAAAGTTTGATAAAATCTGGTAAAAATTGTACAAGTTAATTATATAAGAGTGCTTACTATGCAATTTTTCATAGAAATATTAATTCTAAGGGCATAACTCTGAAAAAAAATAGTTGATCAGCACTGATTTTTTAATTTGTCCCAAGACATTGCTGATATAAACATCTGATGCAAGATAAATAAAAATCTACATGTGAGAGCACATACAATGCAATTTACCATATGATTAATATTTCCAAGGGCATTACTTTTTTAAAAATAGTTGATCGGCACTGATTTTCAAACTTGTCCAAGACAAGTGTTGATATAAACCTCTGATTCAAGTTTTATAAAAATTTAGAAAATTAGATGCCCAGCATTTCTAGGTTCCCTGCAAAACGATGTACATCTGACAATTTACCTATCACCAAATGGCCACACTGACATAGAACATGTAGATTTTTTTACCAACATGATAAGATATATACAAGTTTCTATGCCTGATTATTTTAGTCATTAGAATCAAATTATTTTATTAATCTAATCTTGAAAAAATATAGTAAGACTGTTTTACATGGAAAGCTAACAGGCTTACAGACTTTGTCATATTTCTTCTTCTTAATATTTCAACAATCCATCAACATACTCATGATAACCTGCTGGACACTGATGTAACAAGTGTTATGGTATCTGTTTCAATGTGTACCCATGCTGCTCTGCCCTGGACCATCTCAGGCTGGTGTGTTTGTGATTTATGTGAATCCTAGATGCAGCTGCTGCGTTCTAGCTTTTGGTCTTAACAAGTGAAGTATAAACTTTTGCTTTAAACTATTTTTGAATTGACCTTTAGGTTTCTCTTACGGTTTATGACCCCCTTTCTGTAGTACTGTGTATTATGAAATTTTCAAAGTGTAATAATGTCAAAACAGTAGAAATACTGCATGAAACAGACATGCCATTTTATACATATAACAAAGAGAAGTGTCATTTACAGAAATTATATTTATTGTCTAATTACATTTAGTTGAAAATGTGGATCTAATGTTGACTCAAGCCAAAATTTTTACAGAAAATCCAATGACTTTATTACAGGGACTTTCATTTTTACCATTTGAAACCTAGATTACTCACTAGTTTATCCATGGTGTGCTAGCATTTATTGTTTACAAAAAGTCCTAACAACTGCGCATGCATGGACCTGAATAGACTATCTTCTTTAGGCTCTTAAAAATTTGTGAAAATTGGTATTTACAAACATCGTTACCACCCTAAATCTTGAATATTATTATATATTTACTCAATGTATATAGGTATAATCAATACATAACTAAAATACACCATTAAAAGCAGATTTCACTTTTTGAAATATATTTTGACAGATACCGCCAAATATCATGTGACCAAATTGTAAACCGGAAGTAAACAAACATCTCATTCAGAAACTTTACTTTGCTGCTTATTAATCAGGCATTTCATATAACCTGTACTCCTGAGTTGCCCAGGAGGCGAAGATTAACACGTGTACACTCTACTAACAACTGATGTACCCTCTTTCCACACTTCTGATCTCAAGCACAGGTATTTAATCATAGTAAAGCATTAATTATAGGAAAACACGGTGTGCCATACACAATCAACCATGGTACTAAAATACTGTATTATTGTACTACCTGTCTTATTCTCACTAATTAATATTCTTGGTGCTAAGACAATATGTAACATAACACCACATACAAGACCACTTGCTTATAACATATTATTACAAATTCCATCTAATCATTATCCCATCATAAGTGTATTTGCACTCCAGAAAAGTAGTTGGGGCAGGCCAAATTCAGTCCAGATATTGAAAGCATTGAAATCAAAGGCTCCGCAACAAGTGCAGTCATACTTATTCATCCTGCTAATTGCAAATGCCTTTGACACAGAAACAAACCCTGGTCCTAGGTGGCTATGTGGAACATGTCAAAAGGCTGTTACATGGAAACATAAAGCACTTTGTTGTGACAGTTGTGATGTTTGGTATCACATTGATTGTCAAGGAATGTCACCTCAACACTATGGCTGTATGAATGCTAGTAACATCAGCTGGGAATGCATACAATGTGGTATGCCAACTTCTCAACTAGTCTGTTTAACCACTCGACCATTAAAACATCAAATCTATATGACACATTGAATGATAACTCAGTATTGGGGAGCCCAGGTGCTCCAAAAGCCACATCCTCACCGATACCTTAACAATTGTAAAAATAAAAAGAAACAGCGTACTACAAATAAAAACAGAAAATCTATTAGAGTTCTTAACATTAATTTCCAGTCCATTCGAAATAAAAAACCAGAACTTCTACAATTGATAGACTCTGCAAAACCAGATATCATCCTTGGTACTGAAACTTGGCTTGACAAAAACTCATCCTCGTTCAAATACTTCCCAACAGATCTTTATAACATCTATAGAACTGATAGACCACCAAGTAAAAACAACCAAAGCTATGGAGGGGTATTACTTGCAGTCACCAAAGAATTTATCAGCACAGAAATCCAAGAACTAAAAACTGACTGTGAAATCATTTGGGCACAAATAAACATACCGGGTGCAAAAAACCTTCTGGTTGGAAGTTATTATAGACCACCTTCAGATGATGGGAACTCCATAAAACAATTAGACTTATCATTAAGTAGAATAAATCAAACTTCAAACAGTAACATATTAGTAGGTGGCGATTTCAATCTAGGCCACATTGACTGGTCTGTCCCTAAGTAATACCAGGGAAACCAGATCAAGAACAGCACAATTCACTTTTAGAACTACAATGTACTATATGATCATAATTTACACCAAATAGTTAATATACCAACAAGAAAAGAAAGAATCTTAAGACTTAGTACTGTTCAATAATCCATCTAACATTAACAAGGTCAGTACACTACCACCAATAGGCCTTAGTGACCACGACATTGTCTATGTAGAATCTGACATCTGGTTATGCAGGGTGAGAGAAAAGCCTAAAAAAATATTAAAATATAACAAAGCCAACTGGAGTAAAATCAAGTCAGATCTAGAAAAAACATACAATGATCTACAAAACCTAGAGGACAAAACAAATGTAAATGATTTGTGGAACACATTTAAAACAAATCTTACACAATCATTGGAAAACAACATCCCACACAAGTTCTTAACATACAAAAACAGACTACCTTGGATTCATAACAACCTCAGGAAAATGATAAATAGAAAAAATAAATTATATTATAAAATGAAACAAAACATCAAGTATGCAGACAAGTACAAACATCTGAAAAAACCAAGTACAAAAAGAACAGAGGGAAGCATATTGGGGTTATATTGAAAAAATTATATTGGATCTACCCATAAATGAACCGGACCAACCATGTAACAATCAGTCAAAACATAAAAAACTGTTTTCCTTTATAAAATCACTGCGCACAGATAACACCGGTGTAGCTCCTCTGAAAAAAGAAGGACAGTTAATAGCAGACACAAAGCAAAAGGCAGACATCCTCAACACACAGTTCCAATCAGTGTTTACAACCGAATCAAATAACAGCATTCCAGACAAAGGTCCAAGCTCACACCCCACAATAACACCACTAGAAATATCACTACCAGGTGTCAAGAAACTTCTACTCAACATAAACCCACATAAGGCAACTGGCCCAGATAACATCAGTGGCAGAATATTAAAAGAACTCAATGATCAAACAGCTCCAATTCTTACACTAATCTTCAAAACATCACTTGAAACTGGCATAACACCAACAGACTGGAAACATGCCAACGTGGCACCAGTATTTAAAAAAGGGGAAAAATACAAGCCAGTAAATTACTGCCCAATATCATTGACATGTATTTCCTGTAAACTTATGGAGCATATCATCACCAAACACATCATCAACCACCTTGAAAAGAACAATATACTGTATGACCTCCAGCATGGCTTCCGTCAGTCACGATCATGTGAAACCCAACTCATTTCATTCCAAGAGCTTGCAGCAAATAACAAAAACAACACACAAACAGACTTAATTATAATGGACTTTGCCAAAGCATTTGACAAAGTCCCTCATAAAAGACTTCTCTATAAACTGAACTATTATGGTATTCAAAATGAAACACTAAACTGGGTCTCTGCCTTCTTAAATGAAAGAACACAAACAGTTGTCCTGGATGGAGAGTCATCTGACCTGGCTCCAGTCACCTCAGGTGTCCCTCAAGGCACAGTTCTGGGCCCAGTATTATTCTTGGTATACATCAACGACCTACCAGAATACTTACAATCCAGTAAGCTCAGACTGTTTGCCGATGACAGTATCATCTACAAAACCATCAAATCTCAAAGTAACAGTGATGAACTCCAGTTAGATTTAGATGCAGCTGCTAGGTGGGAACAAGACTGGTTGATGGCTTTCCATCCAGACAAATGCACAGTCCTTACAGTATCACAAAAGAAAAAACAGTTTAAACATGACTATATCCTTCACAATCACAAACTAGAACTAGTCTCTTCAGTTAAATATCTGGGCATTACACTACAAGCAAACTTAATATGGTCAAAACATACAGACAACATCATAGCTAATGGAAACAAATCTTTGGGCTTCTTAAAAAGAAATTTAAAAACATCATGTCAGAACATCAAAACCCAGGCATATCTGGCACTAGTTAGTCCTAAGCTTGAATATTCATGTTCAGTATGGGACCCTCACACAGCAGAACAAACCTCTAAAATTGAGATGGTCCAAAGACGAGCTGCCAGATATGTCTGTAACAGGTACCATAACATCAGTAGTCCTACAGACATGATAAACTCACTAAACTGGCCCATGCTACAAGAAAGAAGACTACGCACAAAATTGATAATGTTCTACAAAATAGTACATCAAATCGTAGCAATCCCATCTGCTATTCTCATACCATCAGACAGTAGAACCCGCAAAAATCATAGTTTCACTTTCAGACACATTTCTACCAAAAGAGATACATATAAATTTTCATTTTTTCCGTACACCATTACTCAGTGGAATTTACTACCAGTCCACACAGTCGCTGTAACCTCAGTCGACACTTTCAGAGAACAGCTTACACCAACTGTTCTCCACAAATTCATTTAACTCATTATTAGCCTATGTACATAGTTTTAATCACAATCTAAAATTCTTACGATGCACTTCAAATTCATTTTCAATTATTTTTGTGTTTTTGTAAATATATATATAGGCCATGCAGCGCAAAACAGTATATAATCTTCAGATAATGAAGGACTACTGAAAACCGAAAGAAGAAGAACAACCTTTACAATACATAAAACCTTGTGCTGAATTATTTAAGTCGAGTGCATCCTTGAAGGTGTACTTCAATTGTCAATATTTGTACTTGTTTTAACTAATATCTTTGTTTTAAAATTTTGTTTTAGGGAAAGCATTGCTAGCAATGCATACAGTAATTCCCTTTGTATTAGTAAATAATTGTCAAATGATCTCAAATACATGTATAAGAGTACACGGGGAAAGGCTGTGGATATTTATAAAATTTCCATATGATTAGCATTGACACAGCAAAAGGGTACATAAACCTTAATGAAGTTTAGCTTTTGTGTGGCTGAAGCTGTAATATTATTGGCATGTTTGTTCCATTTAAGTTGGTTTGTATTGATATGCCAAGATGTTTTGTGGATGTTTCTTTTAGCAGTACATGTTGGACTTGTGTTGGGGAAGAGTCTGGTCAAAGTTTATTGGGTTTTTCTTAGTGATCTAGAAGGACTGAGCTCTTGTCTGTGTGCAACATGAGCCAGTCCTTCTCCCAATTTGGTGCTAACACGATAGGACCAAAACTATTCCTTGAGGAACACCAGATTTCCAGATGTCACATTAATTTTGTCTGATTGTACACCATCACTGGGAATCAGGCATCAATAATCATAATGACTTTTTAATAGTACGTGTGATACATGTGAGGCAATCTTCTATTTATTTGAAGGATTTCAATACCATAATTTAGTTTGGAGAGAATTCTTTCGCGAGGCACAGTAGTTACATCTGCCTCATATTATTAATCAAAAACATACTTCCATTCAATGTATTGATGCTCATAAAACTAGCCGGTATAATTTATAAGTTATTATAAAGTGTGTTTAAAATTAATATAATTTTAAAATGACAATCTACCATCAGATTTGGCGCGTTCTTTCATTACCTCCCTTCCCAAATTTCCGGTTTACTCTCGGCTCATTTCGTACCAACATTTCGCCACTTACTTTTCTGAAATATATTTGTTTAAAGTGCAAGAATTAGGTTGGTGACATTATCTATTTGGTTACTTTATCTGGGATATTAAGTAATTTGTCTACCAAGAATCAAATGTCATAAGCTCACTGATTAAATAATCTGATCAACACTTAGCCCATTAAGCTGTTAATATGTTTTTCTTCTCAGTCACCCAGTGTGTGTAAAAATTTATCATCAATCAAGTCAATGACATTAAATACTTTGCATACTTTGACTCAGAGATTAAGAATGGGAATCCGACAATTGTGTTTTTGTTAATAATTTTTCATTGGATATGTAAGTCACATAACTTCTATTTCCTTTTAATATTTTTTTCATGTGATGGATCATGTTCAATCCGGATCCATGAATAAAAAGAAGATAGATGGCATATTTATATCAAATGTTGTAGATCTGGTTGTTGACGAACAACTATGCAAATCTTTTGTTTCACGCTTTCTTTACAGGAAAGGGGAAATCTTTAAATTGGGAACAATTCCACTAAATATTCCTCCCGGACAAGATACTGACATCAATCATCTTTCTTTTTCGACCCTTTGAAGCTAATTACTTAATGATGATTTAAATATCACCAAACTAGCTTTATATTTCCGTCTACAAAAAAAAATACATCGGTGACTATTCCAGTATATATAGCTGCTAATCTCTTGCTGTGTTCGCCGTTACGTGGCCTCAACGTGGTATTCCCTTTTTGTGTTGGTTTAATCATCGGTTTGATTTCTATACAATGCTACAGTATCCTTAGATTGTGCACGGTTGAGTTATTTGATATTTAAGTCCACTTATAAAATAAACCGGCTGAGACTACTATAGTAGTTTCAGAAAAAAAAAGTTTGAAAGCAAAAGGCTCTCACCACAATATTTACGAAACTTTAACATGTTCAAATTTAAAATCCTTATAGGAGTATTTATTTCCGTTAAATGCTGATTTTTACAAATTTTGTTTTTGTTTTGCCTATTATCTATAAGCCTAGTATAGATAGGGACAAACTTTAAACGCAAATTTGTTCAGCTACACAAAATCTACAAATAGTTAAACACTGCCGAAATTGTCCGTCGACTCCCTATAGGAGTTATTGCCCTTACATGGAGATGTTTTACCCTTTTTGTCTTGGGCAAAAACTATGTATAGAAGATACAGAGAAACTGTAAACAGCAAAAAAGATTTGCAAGACAAGATCTACAAATTGGTCAATTTAATTAAAATATAGATCTCCGATTTCGTTATACATCGGGTATCCCAATCCGAAACGGCGGAGGAATCCAAATCACGAGGAGCAATTAATGAAAAGTTTGTAACGCTATGTAAGTAAAATCTGGATCCGATTCCCATGGAGGAATTGTGCTCCGTGGGAATCAGCTCCAGATTTTACCTACCCACCGTTACAATTTTCATTAATTGCTCCCTGGGATTCGGATCCCTTTGCGGATTTCGGATCGGGATACCCGGTGTGGTTATGCTCATATCGACGAGTTGCTATGTAAGTAAAATCTGGATCCGATTCCCATGGAGGAATTGTGCTCCGTGGGAATCAGCTCCAGATTTTACCTACCCACCGTTACAATTTTCATTAATTGCTCCCTGGGATTCGGATCCCTTTGCGGATTTCGGATCGGGATACCCGGTGTGGTTATGCTCATATCGACGAGTTGCTATACATGTATATCTAAATTTTAATCAGTTTTCAAATTAGTCAACAAAGAAGAAATTGTCATTAAATTTCATATAAGATTTAAATGGCCTTGAATGATGATTTTTACCTTTTTCAAGTAGTGCTGGATTATAGTCTAGTTTACTGTGTGGGAAAGTTGTCGTTGTCATGAGTAGATGCACATAGATGCAAGGGAATGGCATTTTCATAAGAACTTGTCCTCACATTTTATTTCGAAATTCTCTAATTTAGCTCTCTTTCTAGTCATCAGTAGAATTCTTACTATTATAGTGCTTTTGTGATGTAAAATCTTTACAAAACATGTGAATTTTGCATAATCTCAGGGGCGGATTTATATTTTTTCCTTCAAAATCCTCATCCGTACCCGAAGCAGTAGCTTGATAAAAAGTTGCGTGACCTATAGTTTTTATCATATTTCGTAAAATACGATATAACTGCAAATTTTCGAAAAGTATAAACAAATCTATAATTGGTGTTAATACTACCTGCCTTATGAATTAAACGCTCATATTATTTTTATCTTCCTAACATTATATTGCTAAGATACCTTCTATCCGCGTTTTGTATTAGGATAAACTAGGTCTTGCAGACATATGCAGTTTATGGAGTTAAGTTAAGAATAGTCCAGTCCAATCGATGTTCAACAATATTTAGACTCTTTCTGAAATTTGTGTGTGGCTCTAAAAAGAGCCTTTTTAATTATCACTGCATGGGACAATAAGTGTGCACTCATCAACATGTATGCTGATAAATGCGATTTTTCAATTCTTCTGTTTCTTTTGCCTTTCTCAGGGCAAATTCGTAATAAACTTCACGGAGACCATCAGCGACAGCAATCCGAAGTCTTAGCGTGTATCGGAATGAACGGTTTCCTTCTTGTTTTGCTTTTGTGTATCTCTGATCAAGGTTGGAAAGTCGATGGTTAAGATGAACAATTTGCTGACAGGCTCTGCGAAAGTGGCGCTCGGTCACTATAAGGAGTTCTTTAACAGCAGTAGCTTCCATGGTCATGGTTACAGTCTTCTACTATGTCGCTTAAGACATAAAATTATAGAATGAAATTGTCACAGAGAAACATTGTGTTTTATAGTCAATTTTGATAAGAATCATCAAAGAAGAATTATTTTACCTTTGATTATGTTGAAAAATATTTAAGATATGCTTTTGTTCTTTCTTATTTCAATCCTCAGGAATGTTTGGGTAATTTTTTATCTTTGTAAAAAAAATCCCTATTATAATACTTAGCTACCTGTAAGCACATGGCTTCATTTTCACACCCTTTGATGTGTTTATACCTTAATTTGTTAATGATATTGGCTTCAATTCGACGCCGTCACAAATTATATTGCAATTGTTATATTGTAACATTTGAATATTGAGCTAAGAAATAACCCAAGTTCTCAAAAAAGTAAGAATTTAGAATTTTTCAATCAGGATTTAACTATGTTTAAAATTACCATGATTACTCACGATCATAATAATAATAAACTTATCACGACAATCAATCCTATAAGATAACTTGCATTATGATCAAATTGATAATTAGAAACATATTTTGCTATCCAAATATGCTCAATAGCATGGTATAACCAAAATTATTTATTAATTGGTTTAAATTCACAAATTTCCTGTAAAATTATATGAAATTCATTAACTTGGCAGTTATGTTATGAAAAGTAATAAATGAATTATTTATAAACAGATCATTAAATTATGAATGCATAAAGATTGTCCAAAACCGATATTTTGGCAAGTTTTCAATATCTATCCCCAAAAATGTAGAAAAGATCGTCGTAAACAGGCACAAAACCAAAATTCCGTTAAAAGTAAAGCTATGTGTTGTCTTTCGGATAAAAATTAGTTAATTATGCACAGGCACTTGTCTCTAAAAAAAAATGTCCAATATGTCTTAATATAAAACATATAGGAATTTTTTTCAGAGACAAGTGCCTGTGTAATTATAGTAAGCGACGTCTTTCGATGCAAAATGTGACCGTGAAAAACATGTAAAAATTGCATAGTTTGTACTAAAATACTTCAACAGCAACGTCATGTAACATGCAGTGCTGAATAGCATTTCGAATTTATGGAAATATGTAAAATTGTTAACAAATATTTAATGTATGTGATCAGAGACATATGTATATATTTCTCTGATGTGATATATATAGGCTCTATTATTTTCAAATTCCAGTAAGATTTGACAACTTTTAGATTTTGATCCTGCGAGTGAAACAAAGTGGAAATTGGTCCTTCCTCTTTATTTCCGAAAAGATAAGTACTATATATGTAAGACTCAAATCGACGTCCGGTCTCTAATCGACGTCCGTTCCTCAAAACGACGTCCAAATCTGACGTCACAATAATAGTCAATTTTATGCCCCTCTAATCGACGTCTTTTTTGTTGTTCTCAAATCGACGTCCAATTTTTGGCTTCTCTAATCGACGTCCGTTTTGTGGACTTATCGCAGTGAAATCACAACTTTATTAAAGGGTGGGTTGAACCTAAAACTTAAAAAGTTGTTGAAAAATATGAGTCCAAACATAATACTTTTCAAAAATTGTCCGAATGTTATTATTCTTTCTATTGTTTGAGTCTGTGTACTGCCCTCTAGATGCCTTTTGATTATCTTTGTTTTTGGGTTGTTGTCTCATTGTCGTACAATGTATACCCACATGTCATTTATTTATATGAAAAAGAAAGGAAAGCGACAACGTAGGTCTAGAATATGAAAGTCTTTCTACAAAATATTAATATGCATGAACATGTAATAGTAATAGTAATAGTAATAGTAATAGTAATAGTAATAGTAATAGTAATAGTAATAGGATGTTGGTGATTGTCTTATTGTCATTTTCTGATGTTTGTCCTTCAAGTTATATTTTGATAACAATACAAGAAAACAGTTATAGTTTCTGTAAGCTATTTCACAAAAAGACAAAACGATACAGATAATATAAACAAACTAAGATCAATTTAAAAATAAATGATTCAATGAAATTCGACATCGTTATGAGAGTCTCCTCATCGATCGGACTTAGTTTTTGTGATTTATTACGTCACATTGGACGTCAATTACAGGGTTAACACTGATTTGAGAACGTGACGTCAGATTTGGACGTTAAAATATTGGACACTAATTTGAGAACGTGCCGTCAGATTTGGACGTTAAAATATTGGACACTGATTTGAGAACGTGACGTCAGATTTGGAAGTCGATTTGAGGAACGGACGTAG